CCCCGGTCCTGGTTGGTCGTGTGAGTGGCAGCCACTCGATGTGTCCCTTTCACGTCGATGTTTCTCTCTCACTTCCTCTCTTCCCCTTCTACTCTATCTGAACAAAAAATGGAAAAATGTTGAGGATAAAAAAAAAGAAGGTAAAACAGCACCCAGAGCAGTGGTTACCCAGTATGATGTGGGTCAGAATTACCGAGCACGTGTTTAAAATGCAAATTCCCTGGCCCTACCTACAGAAGCAGCTTCCCAGGGAAGGACCTAGAAACCAACATTTGAAAAACTATGAATAACTTGTACATTGCTGGTGGAGATGTAAATAGTACAACTACTTTGGAGAATTGTTTGGCAGTTTTTTTGTCAAGTCCAGTATAAACAGTATGGCTTAGCCATTTTACCCCTAGGTGTTTTCCCACCAGAAATGAAGATATAGGTCCAAAAAAGACTTGTACACAAATGTTTATAGCATCTTTATTCACATTTTTCCAGCCCAAAACTAGAAACACACAAATGTCCATCAACGGATAAACAAATTGTGGCCTATTCATGCAGCGGAGTACTCCATCCTCCATAAAAAAACGAACAAAGTATGAGGCATGCAACAATATGAATGACTTTCAAAGACATGATGCAGAAAGAAAGAAGCCAGAAAGAAAAGAGACTGTACTATATGAATTCCATTTGTGCAATTTTAGAACAAACCCAATGAATCTCTCAGTGGTTAGATGGGGTGGGATTCAGGGACAGTGCATCCAAAGGGGTGAGAAATGTCTGGGAGGACGGAAATGATCTATATCTTGATTGTGAGGGTGGTTCCATGCAGGTGTATGTTTTTCAAGACTCATGGAACTGTACATGTAAAGTAGGTGCGTTAGGAGAAGAAGGAATGAGAGAAGGGAAGCCCAGAGGTTTGGTTGGTCAGTAGGGAGGGGAAGAAGTTAGCTAGGAGGACTTGAAGATCCTTGGAGATGGGGGACTGCTTAGGGGCTCTAGATAGATGAGTGTGAACTATCTATGAATACGAAGGTGAAACCACTGTCCTTTTATAGAGAAGTGAAGGGGAGGGTGGTGGAGTTGGGCACCCTGGGAGGGTGGAAGGAGGGAGTTTCAGAGAGCTCACTCTGCCCCCGTACTTCCCCTGTGCCACCGTGAGGGCAGGAGTGGAGGTATGAAACACCAGCTGTGAACCAGGTAGCAGAGGCCAACGAGGAAGTAGATAAACTGTCTCCTATGACATGGGCCCAGCTGGCCACACATGTGTAATGGCATCTCTGAGAGTGGTTATAGTGTTTTCTTCAGCAGTGCCCAGAGCCTGGGGGAGGAAAGGGCTCAGTGGATTCTGGGTTGAGGGCTGAGAGAGCAAAGCTGCTGGATTATTCGAAGTAATCAACGACGGATGTCCAGACTGGGCAGGAATAGAAATCGGAAGGAAACTAACAAATATATTGAGCACCTCCTATGTGTCAGGCACTGTTTTAGATTTTTGGGATATAGCAGACAACAAAAGATGAACCCCAGCCCTTGCAAAGCTTACGGTAGCTAGAGTTAGACATTAAATAAAAAATACTCTACTTCAGAGGTGGTTAAATGTCATGGAGAAAAATTAAGCAGGGAATAGGATAGAGAATCCTGGGGTGGCAGGAGGTAATCATGGAAGACCTCTCTGAGATGGTGACATTTGATCAAAGACCTAGGCAGAGGAAACAGCAAATGCAAAGGCTCTGAGGCAGGGGCATGCTTGGCAGTATTCAAGGAATATAGGGAGGCCAGCACTTCTTTTGGAGATAAAAATTATTTAAAATGTTACCCTTATGAACTTGGACAAAGGGAAGATGTGAACATGTATTTTGAGTCATTTCTGTCTCAAGTTAAAAAGGAGGATCACATTTGCACAAACAAGAGCAATGAGTGTCCCGTAATCTCCCCCAGTTTTCTCCAAGTATAAAGGCTGAACCTTTTCAGGCCTGACCCACCATCAGGGGAATTAAGTTGAGTCCAATGGCTGCTCCCAGGGTAGCACTGAGTAGGTTTATTTCTTCCTGTGTTAATCCAGGAGACCAATCACTAAATTCAGGTATTTAGCCTTTTTTTTTTTTTTTTCTCTTCTGATATTACCTTTACCTGATATCCTTAACTTCACCTGGAATAGTACCTGTTTTTACACTTGTGAAGTAACCCCGTGTTTTTTTTTTTTGTTCCTTCTGAAAGTAAAACAGCTTTTATCCTTATCAGTCTCCATATAGATAGAGTAGCTTATTTTGTAGCAGTATTTGTTTATATTCTTATAGTTAGGCCAGGTTTCTTTTCTCATGCCTGAATTTTTTTTTAAAAACAAGAATCTTGCCTGATACCAGTTTCCATGATTAAATAAAAACCAACCCCCTTTTCATGATGGGCTTTCATTCCATGTTTTCAAATGGTGCTTTTTGCTGTTATTTGGCTGGCTTTCCCAGTACTTTCATCTTTAACCTTTTATATTATGGAAGATTACAAGCATGTTTACAGAGAACAGTAAAATGACTGCCCCATAAACAGTTATCGAAAGGCTGCCATTCTTTTTGTTTTATCTGTCCCACACACAATATTTTTCTGTAGTATTTCAAAGCAGATCTCAGATTCAAATGAGTTTTTCAGAAAAAGGGAGCAGCCGTTTGCTGCCCCTGGGAGAGCTGCCCTGACAGTGGTGCTGTCCCGGGCCGCAGCCCGGCAGGTGTGGAGCGCCCATGTGACCAAGTAGCTGGGAATGCTAAGCTGGCCCGAAGGTCCTCTCCCTCCACCTGAGCCTAGAAAACCAGCACGGTCCTCAAGCAACAGTGTCTTAACTGGAATCCTTCTGGTGCAGGACATTCCGGGACCTGAGGCCTCAGTGTCAGGTGAGCAATGGGAAAGTTCTAGAAAAGCAGGAAAATCTTCCCCTGAAGATGAGCCCCTGAGGGTGAGCAGGTGCTGCACAGCAAAGATAAGCTTATGAGCAGAAATCGAAGTCCTATCACTCTCCCTGTCATGTTTCTGGCGACTTGCTAGAAGTCGGCAGTGCCCTCTTCCCATGAAACAAACCGAAAGGATGCCTCTTCACCACTGTGTTTGCCGTGGGGTGCGGCGGCCCCACTCCTCCTGGCTGGCCTGGCTGCAGGGTTGTGGGAGTCACCCGGCTGTAACCACACCTCCAGTGTTTAGCGGGGTGAGAGCTGTGGGCCCTGGTTTCCTGCCTCTTGCATCAGTCTGTTTGTGAGCCTGTACCAAGAGGTGATTAATGGGAACAACAAACATGTGCGGACTGCCTGGAAGTGTCTCCTGTTTCCTAAAATGTTTTTGGTTTAATGAATTGTTTGTTTGCTGCCCACAGACCACATGTGTTGTGTGTACCTCTGTTGTTGTGAACACCGTATGCCTTCATGTAGGGGCTAGGCTTGTAAAGCAGAGTCAACATTTGATAAGGTTTCAAAGAGCTTTCTTTGTCTGACAGTCCTGACCGACTGGAGAATTAACCGTCTGTCGCCGTAGGTGGAGCCGCAGGAGCCTGGAACTCTGCGTCCAGAATCCTGTCCGTGTTTGCCGCCCTGTCCGCAGCTCCGAGGCTGTGGATGGCGTGGTCGTGCAGCCGTGTGGTGTCTGGTTGCTAGAAACACCTCGTCACTGTGCGGTCTCGTGCCTGTGGGTTTCAGCTCTGTCCCAGCACTGCTGTCAGCGTCCTCTCCCCCACCGCCGTCCACCCCGAGGGATCAGGAGCGTCCTCTGGATCTGTGCCCAGGAGAATGCGGGGAGGGAGAAATTCTGCCATTTTGACAACTGCAAATATAACATTGACTTTGAGAGAAAACAGTTTCCAGATTTAAAAAGTAATGCCCACTGGTGAGGAAATTTGGGGAAATGGAGAAAAGGTGTGGGGGGGTCACTTATATTTCCAACAGAGATAACTTACAGTTCGCGTTCCTTGCCTCTGCACCTAGTTTTCCCGTGTGCATTGACGACGTTCTCCTTGGCTGCGTTAGCACTTTAATGTTATCTTTTCTCCTGGACGTGACAGTGGGAAGATTTGTCCACGTTTCAGAATTTTATAAGCCCTTTTCAGACCCCTAATTTTCTGCCAAGTGGACATTTCAGAATTTAACCATGTTCTTGAGTAGTTAGATCATTTGTAATGCTACCATGAGCATCTTTGTACAGAAAGCATTTCTGTAGTTTGTGTTATTTTCATACTGGACTTTGTGGAACTGGAATCAACGGGTCAGAGAGAACCAGGATGAACACTGAAGGTTTCAGCTCTGCCATACTGCTGCCCCAAAAGGGTATCCCCCTTTCCCGTCCAATCAGATTCTCATCGACAGCAAAACTGGTGCTGCTGCCACAGTTTTGCTTTTCCTAATGGGAATATCTACTACCACGCCAAGTGTTTGGCAAGGTGGTGATTTAGGTTTTAAAAGTCCCTGGTGTGGCCCTGGCTGGTTTTGTTCAGCGGTTAGAGCGTCGGCCTGCAGTCTGGAGAGGCCCGGGTTCGGTTCCCGCTAAGAGCATGTACTTCAGTTACAGTTTGTCCCTGGCCCTGGTTGGGTCATGCGGGTGGCAGCCACTCGATGTGTCCCTTTCACATCGATGTTTCTCTCTCTCTTCCTCTCTCTCCCTCCAGCTCTATCTGAATAAAAAATGGAAAAATGTCCTCGAGTGAGGATAAAAAAATAAATAAAAGTCCCTGGTGTGGCAGACAGTGACACTGTGACCCCCAGTCCACCGTGGGCTGTGCCTGTTCTCAGCCCATCCCCAGGTCACCTGCTCGTTTGCTGACAGCAGTTCCATCCTGCTGTCACTCCTCCCTCCGACCTCAGTGACGGCCTCTGGGCTCACACTGTGTCTCTGTGTGTGTCCTACAGCGCCGTCATGCACATGATCTCATGTAGGTAAATTTAAGTTGTCAGTACAGCTTGTGACTTGATCCTGGGAACTCTCTAGGAATCCTGGTATTTTAGTCTGTTCGATGACGCCTCTGTTGTTTTTCTTTTACACAGATCCAGTTCTGCAGGTTCCAACGCACGTTGAAGAGTAAGTTTTCCAATTGGCTTCAGTCCTTTCCTTTCATTCGCTTTCTGTATTAGTCAGTGTCTATGAAGCTAGTTGCTGGGAGTACATCTGCATACGTTCAAGGTATAATGACAATGACGGCAACACACAGAGCCCTAGAGGTGCTATGCTAGAGGCCTGTGTCGAGGAGAGGGAGTCAGTGGCATTAGGGGAAGGGAGGCAATGGTATTAAAAAGGTTTATTTGAGATGGAACTAAATTGAGTTTCCAAAGTCCTCAGGAAGGCCTAAGGGTTTAGATCTCTTCCTCTTACTGTGTTGACCGCGGAGAGGAAACGTGAGCATGAGCCCTTCTAGCGTGTGTGTGGGAATAAAAGCAGGATGGCACCTGTAAGAGCCTCAAATGATAGTACAGCCTAAGTAGAGAGGAGGTTTACCCAGGGGTTTTTGCGTGAACAGGCGTGGTCTTGAGCCAGTTCACTTGACCAGAGACCACCCACATCTGCTTCCTGGGAGGCTTCCAGCCCAGAGACCTTCATCCATGTCCGTGGTGGGTTCTTTCTGATGTCAGGCTTTCAAAGTCTGCTTTTATTGCCTCCAGTTTAAAAATAAATGTTTGTTGAACACTGAAGATAGATATGTCCTACCTGTTTACGGACTGTGCTGTGCTCTTAAGTTTTAGTTGTTGACGTTCTGCACAAAGTTGACTTGGAAACTGAAAAGCAGACTTGCTGGGTCCCTTCCACTTAACTCTACCTTCATCCAGAGTGCTTTGACCCAGTGATGGTTTCCCCTTCTGCGATGTCTTACGATCTTTCTGTGTGGGCTGCTTTACTGACGCATGGCTGACACCACCATAGGGATCGTTTGTTTGTGGCTGAAGCGGAGAAGCAGTGGGTGGAAATGGCTTATGTACACACACAGCCCCCTCCCCCCTCCCCCAGTCATGGTTTCGCATGGCTTTGATAGTTCGTTCTGTGCCCTGGGCTGTAACTTGTCATTGATACTTACTGCTTAATTTCTAGGCCTGCCTTCCTCCCCGATCCCAATGACGGCAGCCTGTACACACTTGGGGGCAAGAACAATGAAGGCCTGACGGTGAGTGTGTTTAGCTTCTTTGTGTACCCCAGAGGTTCTAGACCAGTGATCCTCAACTTTTGCACATTGAGATCACCTGAGAGCTTAACAGACATTTGGGGGACTCTGCTTCAGGTGGTCCGGAGTGGGGCCTGAGCATCAGTATGTTTTCACAGCTTCCTAGCTGAGCTGTTATTTTTATGTATTTTTTGTTCTTCACTCAGAGTTCATTCTTTCTTTTATTTGTTTTTATTGTTGAAAGTATTACAGATGTCCCCCATTTTTCCCCATTGACCCCTCCTTCCCGCTCCCACCCCGCTCCTGCCTTCCCCAGCCCAGTGTCCGTGTTGGTTGGTTGTGCACATCTGCATATTCGTTCTTTGGTTTCTCCCTTCCCACCCCTCCCACCCGCCACTAGCTGAGCTTTTAAATGGCAGCCAGAGTTCAGACTCTTTGATCTGGACGAGCAGGTTCTGATGGCCCAGCCAACACACTGGAAGGGTCTAATACCCTTTCACCAATAGAGTTAGCTAGTGATTCCCAAATTGGTGTGGGGGCGGGGTAGTTTGAAACACTGCCCCTATCCCCCCGCTGACGTCCCCATGTTGGGGGCATCTGATATTCCTGTCTCCGGTTGAGAACCTAGATGGCGGTTCTCCACCTTAGATACACATTGTAATGACCTGGAGAACTCTAAGGAATGCTGAGTCTGGGTCCCAGTTTCAAAAGTCTCCTTTTAATCAGTTTGGGCATCAAGATTGTTAAAAATTCCTCAGATGAGATAATGTAGAAATAGGCCCGCAGTTATGAGCACCTAACCTGTGACAAAGGTGACAGTGCAGTGCATTTTCCATAAATGCGTCTCTGGGTCAACTGGGAGACGCACAATGGAAAACATCTGACTCCTGCCTCACACCAGACGCACAGAACTCTGTTCCAGATAGATCGCATATCTAACTGCGAAATGGGAAACAAAGCTTTGAAAAAAGTAACAGGACATCTTCATGACCTTACAGTGGTTGAAGGTTTCATAAGTAGGATACAAAAAACTCAAACCAATACAAAAATACCTCACACTAACCATAAAGGAAAAAAATTGATATATTGAATTATATTCAAATTCGGAATTTTTCTTCTTTAATGGACACTGTTGAGAGACGCAGACCGCTGCCCTGGCTGGTCTGGCTCAGCGGTTAGAGCGTCGGCCTGTGGTCCAGAGAGACCTGGGTTCAGTTCCTGCTAAGGGCATGTACCTCAGTTACAGTTTGTCCCCGGCCCTGGTTGGGTCGTGCAAGTGGCAGCCACTCGATGTGTCCCTTTCAAGTCGATCTCCCTCCCTCCCTCCCTCCCTCCCTCTCTCCCCCTCCCACTCTATCTGAACAAAAAGTGGAAAAATGTCCTCTGGTAAGGAGAAAAAAAAAGAGACATAGGCCACTGTGTATTCACAATACCCATATCCAACAAGGTCCTCATATTCAGAATATACAGGGTGGGGCAAAAGTAGGTTTACAGTCGTTCCTTGGGAAAATAATACAGTAACTAATAACAATATAAGAATAAACTGTGTTGCCCTGGCCGGTTTGGCCCAGCGGTTAGAGCATCGGCCTGCGGTCTGGAGAGACCCGGGTTCGGTTCCCGCTAAGGGCACGTACCTCTGTTGCGGTTTGTCCCCGGCCCTGGTTGGTCGTGCAGGTGGCAGCCACTCGATGTGCCTCTTTCACGTCGATGTTTCTCACTCTCTCTCTCTTCCTCTCTCTCCCTCCCACTCTATCTGTGCAAAAGATGGAAAAATGTCCTCGGGTGAGGATAAAAAAAAAAAAAAAGAATAAACTGTGTTTTGCGTACTCACAACTGTAAACCTGCTTTTACCCCACCCTGCGTAAAGAACTAGGGATTATTTTAAAAAGACAGACAACCCAGTAGAAAAAGGCAAAAGAAGATGTCCAGATGGTCAATAAACATATGAAAAGGTACTCAGCTTCATTAGTCATTGGGGAAATGTAAATAAAGATCACAATGTTGTACTCCTTCCCACTCATTAGAATGGCTAAAATGAGAGAGCTGGGGAAAGAAAGCAGGTACAGTATGGGGGGGGCATCAAAGCAACCAGAACTCCTGTCCACTGCTGCTGGAGTGCAGATGGGTACAGCCAGTTTGGAGGACTGTTTGGCAGTGTCTGTTACAGCCTTGTGACCCAGTAAGTAATCAGTTCCCTCCTGGGTTATATACCCAACAGAAATGCAGGCATGTGTTCACCAAAAGACAGGTATCCGAATGTGCTATTTATAATAACCAAGAAGTGAAAACCACCCAAATAGCATTAATAGTCAATGGGATAAATAAATTATGGAATCATATACAGTTTAAAATTTTTTTTCTTTTTTGATTTTAGAGAGAGAAGAAGGGAATGGGAGAGAGAGAAAGAAACATCATCGATAAGAGAGAACATCAATTGGCTGCCTCCTACTGGGGGTCAGGCCCACAACCTGGGCGTGTGCCCTGACCGGGAATCAAACCGGCGAACTCTTAGTGCATGGGTCAACACTCAACCACGGAGCCACACTGGCCAGGCATGGAATTGTATACAGTTTAACAGTCTACACCAATGAGAATAGTCAGTGACGTGGATGAATCTTGCCAACATGAGGGTGGACAGGAGAATGCAAACAAGAAAGTCTGCACAGTGAATAATTCACTTCTATAAAGTTCTAAGAGGAGAGAAACTAGTCTGTGATGTTTTGAAGTGAGGATAATGATTGCCCTGGGGGTCGTGATTGGAAGATGGCAAGAAGGGGCCCTCAGAGTGCTGGGAGTGTTCTGTTCTCCAGCTGGGTGCTGGTTACTCGGGTGCGTTCCCGTTGGACGTCTAACAGTTGGACATTTCTGGGGCTTTCTGTTTGTAAGTTCTGCTTCAGTGGAAGGTGGAAAGGCCGCTAATGTGCAGCCAAGGTTGAGAACCACTGGTCTAGACTGTAGGTGGTTTGTGAGCTCTCATCTGGGTATTTAAAAATTATTTGACGAATACCTGTGGCTGAAACAGGTGGGAGAAGGGCAGGCCTCGTGTAGGTGGACGTGTGTGTGTCTCACCTTCCACATGTCTCACCACATCAGTAGAGCCTCCACTGCCGAAGCACTTTGTTAGCCAGAAACCGGGCGGAGTGATTCGTCTTCGCTGTCCCATGTGAACCTCTGAGCAGCCCTCTGGGATGTCGGTGTTGCCCCATATTAGAGGAGCGAAACGGTGCCGGGGGAGGTGAAGGAAAGTGCCCACGGCCAAAGCTTTACGTGCTGGACATGGGACGCGAAGAGCTCGGACTTCCACGGGTGCTCTGACCGCCACCCAGGCACCCTCCTGCACCGTGGGTTAGCAGCTCCGGGAACCAGGCGTCTCCAGCCCGGGCCAGGCTCAGGAGGATCAGCAGATCCCCCAGGCCCCAGGCTGGAAGCCTTGAAGTGACCTTCTGATTCTCAGAAACATCTGGCAGAAGCCCAGTCATTACAGCCTCTCTGTGGCATTTTTCCTTTTCTAAGGCTTAGCTTAAAGGTTGGGATGATGGGAAAATCCAAATGATTAATCATTTAAAGTTCTGTTTATTGAAGCAAGAGAGACATCTTCTCTTTCGTGGGGGAAAGGGTGGCGGTGTAATAGAAGCAGACATGTATAGGAGGACAGTTTCAAGAACACAGAATGTTCCAAAAATAAAGCACACTGAAACAAGCCTTCACCAGAACGGCTGGTCAGATGTCAGCTGTAGGCTCAGAAGAGTCGGTTTTCTGATGAAATGCAGTTGAAACATGTGGATTCCTTTGAGTTTCTTTTCCTGGCACCTACCATAACTTCCTTTTCATACCAAAAGGTTCGATTTTCTTCTGTTTTTCAGTAGGGAGTTATTTACTGAAGAAAACATCAAAACTTCCTTTCCAGGTCAGACTCCTTTGTTGCCCATATAATAATAAGTTCTCCTTTTTCTCAAAGCTTCAGCTGGGCACCGAGATTGCTTCTCTTCAGAAGGGTCTCGCGGTTCACTCTCACTCTGAAAAGCATTGACATTCTGCTCAGCCTAGCTGGCTCTGGGACAATTTTCCAAGATGGGAGAATTCTTCCTGCCCCCCTTAGAATGTCAGAGATCGTGTAACTCTCCATATCTCTGTACGTCTTTTCAGAAAAGGTTTGTGTCGTCCCCAGAAGTGCTCTGGAAAAGAGACTCGGGCCCATGGAGTAAAGGAGTTAGTGTTCACAGTGCCAGGGCCCTGGGAGCCGAGGACTTGTCTAAAATGGATGTGGAAGCCTGGGGCACCCCTTCTCCTTGGCTTCCAGTTAGGAAAACTCCCATCTGCTATCAACAGTGCTTCTCCCTTTTCAGCAGAATTGGGTAACAGAAACCGAGCGTGCCATGAAATGCTAATAATTGCATAAGCCTTGGTTGGTTAACTTATTTTTTCCTTTGCTTTTTTTTTTTTTTTTTTTAAAGAAACTTCCCTTCACCATCCCTGAGTTGGTCCAGGCATCCCCATGCCGAAGTTCAGATGGGATTCTCTACATGGGTAAGCGTTCCTGTTTTCTGCACGGAAACCTCGGGCTCTTTGGAAACGGGCCCCAGGATCTGGGAGAGCGGCGTCTCAGAGGTGTGCAGTCCCTCCCTCACCGCTCTTCTGGGAAAGGTCTTTCTTGCCTCTGTTGGGCTTGTCCCTGCCAGGATCAGCTGAACAATTAAGAAAGGGTTCCCCCCGCTTGGGAACAGACTTAACACCATTAATATGGTTACTCATTTAACAAGCTTTTAGCTGCTGTGTTGACCTACCCCTGTGATTTAAAGATTGCAACATACCCAGAAGCAAATGGACGAAATTTTAAGTGAATACAATAGTCTGAGCCAAGAAAGGGAAGCCAGGCTCTTGCCTAGTAATTATAGGGCTTTCTTAGTAGTTCCTGCTATCAGAATATTGGGTAAAAACTGTACTTACCAGTTTGCCTAGATAAGCTGCCTTCATACCTCCAGGGGTCACATCTTCCAAAGCATCGGGTAACCTGCTTTCCTTTCACCGTGTTGCTGCCAAAATGTCAATAAAAATGCATTTGTAACACAAAGGAGAGCTGTATTTATCTTGAAATCGTAGTAGTAATAATATCCTGTATTTATACACCGGTTTCTGGAGGAACTGAAAGTGCTTAGTGCCTATTCATGCCTTGGGAGCTATGTGTGTTTCTGGGCCCCAAGTGCAGTCTGAATGTTACATTTTGACTAGGGACCCAGGCTCTGGCTTTCTTCCACACCTTCAGAATGAGGACCTCCTGCCCCCAGCCCAGGGAATTGGAGAAAGTGGCCAGTTCAGGCTTTCTGTCCTCTGCGCCATGCCCGAGGCCCCTCCGAGCACCCCTGACCATCAGTGTCACTGTTTGCTACGTGATCTTCCGGCTTTTGCCAGCGATTCATCACTTACGGTGCATTTAGGCTGTTGTGGTTCCATCGTCTTTGTGTGGTGCCTCTTCAGTGAGTTCATGACGCATATTTAAGTGTGGCAGTTGCCCAGTCCACCCGTTAAAGTGGTAGCTGGTTCTAGAGACTGTAAAGGTCCTCGAAGTAACCAGGGAGGTGCCACGCCCGATGGGAAGGGGTCATGGTCACAGCTGTTTGGTGATGTTTTCGCTCTATCATCAGATCTTTTTCATAGTAAGATTGGTTGCTGAGAACAAAGCTATGATCCATAGACAGATTTCACACGTGTGGGCTTGGCATGCACACCACGTCTGTCAGAGCTGAGTGCCACTTTAGCCGATTCGAGTGCCTGTGCTCTTCTAGGCATCTCTGTACTCGGCTTCCTAGAGTCCCTTGAAATAGGAAGGTTGGCCAGTAAGGCAGGAAGATACCAGTGGCCAGAGGCCGCGCCTTACAGAACAGAAATGCGCAGGTCAGGGTGAACATGTTGACCTTCAGATGGGAGGCCCGTGCTGCTGACTCACCACTGCCGTGATGCCCTTGTGTATATACTGTGGGTGCACATCTCTGAGTTTTCCTGAGTGTTGTTTGGCTGCGCTGTCCACCTGTTCATACCTTTTAATCAGCTGCCCGAGGTGAGAGGTGTAGCCTGTAGCTGGGGAATAACTTACAGGCTGGGACAGGGGCTGAGGTCACTTTGGCCTCTTTCGTACCAGGCTGCAGCCCACTCCACTGCCCAGTCACAGGTACCAGCCAGTTAGTTATAAACAGTAACTGTAGATCCCCTTTACATATGAGCTCATTAGTAAGGATGTTGAGATGTATGAATGATGGTTACCACAGAGATGAGCCCCTGGATACATTTCTGTATTTACATAGGTCCTAGTCTGTGGAGAAAGGATTGCCCTTTACAGGCCAGACTTGCAATATTTAAGGCCACTAATCAAAGCAATACAATATGAGTTATCAGGTTTGGAGAAATTTTTATACATGATCAGGTTGTTAAGTTATCATTAGACCCAGTGGCCCATGAAGTTTTCTTATCTCCATATTACCATTAATGTCTTTGACGTCATAAGAATTTCAGGCCTGTCTCTCAGCACTGGGGACATCTTGACAATGACATTTTTCCATATTGGACAAGTGTAACCACAGTGTGTCCTTATGATGTTTCAGGTAAAAAGCAGGACATTTGGTATGTCATTGACCTTTTGACCGGGGAGAAGCAGCAGACTTTGTCATCGACCTTTGCAGATAGTCTCTGCCCTTCAGCCTCTCTTCTGTATCTTGGGAGAACAGGTAAGAAGGAGCTTTTGTCGTGCGCAAAATTGCTTGTTTCCACAAAGGACCTGAAGCAGCCTCCCCACGGGTCTCTGCCTCTACGTTCCAAAAACTGGAAAAATGTCCTTGGGTGAGGATTAAAAAAAAAAAATAGCACTGCTGCCTGGCCGGTGTGGCTCAGTGGTTGAGTGTTGACCAATGCACCAAGGAGTCACCGGTTCGATTCCTGGTCAGGGCCCAGGCCCAAGATGTGGGCCCGAACCCCAGTGGGGGGCATGCAGGAGGCGGCCAGTTGATGTTCTTTCTCATCGATGTTTCTACCTCTCTCACCCTCTCCCTTCCTCTCTCTCTAAAATCAATAAAGAAAAAAAAATCAACATGTTCTCAGGTGAGGATAAAAAAAGAAATCATTACTATTGAGCACTAAATTTGTCTAAACATTCAGGTAGCCAAGGCTTTAAAAATATATGGGACTTTCCTTCAGGTGCTGTGGAAAACGGTGCTTTTCTGGGAGGGAGTGAGAGTGATCTGGGCCCTGTAGAAGCTGGCAGAGCTCACCTGTTACGAGCAGGAAGGTCTCTGTTGTTTCATGACCTACTGCTGCATAACTAACCACCCTAAGTTAGCGGCTTCAAACACCAGTGCTTCAGTGCTCAGGATTCCGTGGGTCAGAAATTCAGGGAGGGCTCAGCAGGGACGAGTGGTCTCCACTCCACATGCTCTTGGCTGGACTCACTCAGCTGTCTGGGACACAGAGCCTGAACTTCTCTCCATGATGGCTGAGTCCTCCCCTGGAGTAAAGGTGGGCATTACAATGCCTCTCAGGCCTGGACCCTCACTTCCACTGCAGTTTATTGATCAAAGCAAGTAACAAGGCCAGACCAGAACCCAGAGCTGGAGAAATAGACTCAGCCTCTTACTGAAAGACTCACACGTACATTACAGAGATAGGGGTGTGGTGGTGATCTTTTCAGACTTTTACCATAGTCCTCCCTCCGGCTGCGATGGTTTATAGCCCTCCCCCATGCAGAATATACCCCTTCCTGAGACTCCTAACGTCCAGTCACAGCATCAGTCTCAAAATCCAGCATCTGTGACCCACCTCGGGCTTGCAGGTGGGCGAGTCCTCCCCGCAGTGATGAGACAGACGGGACAGCTGCAGTCAGCATTTCCAGGAAGAGGCACAAAGCAGCCCTGGTCCGCAGTGGTGCCGGAGTCCAGCCCAGTGCATGCTCTCTGGGTCCCCTGCTCTGCCGGCAGGGCCAAGTCCCTGCGGAGGGCCCAGTCCCGCCCTCTGGGGTTGGTTCCCCGAGACACCGTTCGCAGCAGCTCTCGGTCCTGACCTCCGAGGAGCCTCTTTCCCGTAGGAAGAGCTTTGTGTTGTGTAGCTTTCTCAGCCCGCTTCTCAGCCATTGAAAGTTTGCTGCTGCTGCTGTTTGTTTGTTTTTTCATTTTGACAGTCTCTTGTTCTTTTAGTTTGTGCTGATATCACTCCTTTTAAAACTGTGTGGACTTTACATGTGTCAAATTATAGTCTGTTTTTAGAGATTAAAGTCATACCCTCGAACCTCTCTAAGGTTCACTTCATGCTGTGGACAACACTCTCCCAGTTCTTAGAACCCTCTTACCTAGCAGAGGCTCTGTGAAATACCTTAATAGCAGGTCTATGAAATACCACCTTAAACCTTTCTGAGGTCTCAAAGAAGGGTCTTACTGCCTCACCTTTTTTAAAAATTGATTTTTAGAGAGAGAAACATCAACTTGCTGTTTCACTTATTCATGCATTCATTGTTTGCTTCATTTTTTTTTTTTTTAAACCTCACCCAAGGATATTTTTCCATTTCTCTTTAGATAGAGTGTGGGGGTTGGGGAGAGAGAGAGAAACATTGATGTGAGAGACACATCGATTGGTTGCCTCCCGCACGACCCCAACCAGGGCCAGAGATGAACTGCTACCTAGATACATGCCCTTGACCAGAATCGAACCTGTGACTCTTTGGTCTATGGGCCAACACTCTAACCACTGAGCCAAACTGGCCAGGGCTTCTTGTACGTGCCCTGATACAATCTTGGCATTTCAGGATGATGCTCTAACCAACTGAGTACCTGCCAGGGCTAACTGCCTCACCCTTGATTTGATCTTGAGCCTGAGGCCTTATATTACTGATAGCACCCTGGATTTGATCTTTGCCCAAAGGCCAAATTTTTTTGTTTGTTTGTTTTTTATCCTCACCTGAGGACATTTTTCGATATTTTGTTCAGATAGAGTGGGAGGGGAAGAGAGAGAAAGAAACATCAATGTGGAAAGGACACATCGAGTGGCTGCCACCCACACGACCCAAGCAGGGCCGGCACAAACTGCAACCGAGGTACGTGCCCTTAGCGGGAACCGAACCCGGGTCTCTCAGGACCGCAGGCCGACACTCTAACCGCTGAGCGAAACCGGCCAGGGCCAAAGGCCAAATTTTTACGTGGAGAATCTTTTTCAGCTGAATGTCAGTCCTGAACCCTCCGTATTTGCCCTCTATTCAGCTTAAAAACCAAATTGTTTCTTCTTGAGCTTATCCGTCTTGCATTATATCATGTACGGCTGAGAGAAACCATTCGGCACTTTCTACATTCTGCCTGGAAATCTCGTCAGCCAGAGCCACAGGTTCATTCGGTGATGGTGTCCCCACTGCCTAACCCGGGCTGCCCCTTCTCAGCTCCAGTCACCATTTTCTCGCTGTTCTTTCAGCCTCCATGGTGACCTTCAGCCTCCCTCTGCCACCGGGTCCCCGCCAGTGCCACATGTTTTAGGTTGTAGTGATGGCATCTTCCCACTTTTACGTACCAGTTTCTAACATTATCAGTCTATTGCTATGTATTAAACCACCCCAAAACTTAAGTGGCATAAAGCAACCCCGTGACGTTGCTTATAATTCTGTAAGACACTAGTTCAAGGGCACCGTCGGGGTGGCTCTCGACATGCTGGCGGCTGGGCCCACTCAGGTGTCTGGGACTTCAGTTCTCGTGGCCTTGTCTTTCCACATGGATGGCCTGGACTCTTTTTAAAGGCAATTTAGGGAGGATTTGTCCGTTGTGATTTAGATAAGGTCAGCACCTCGTAGGTGCGTGGCCCCTCCGGGTAACGAGCTGGTGTGTGTTCTCCAGAATACACCATCACCATGTACGACACCAAAACCCGAGAGCTGCGGTGGAACGCCACCTACTTCGACTACGCGGCCTCGCTGCCCGAGGACGACGTGGACGACAGTAAGTGCCCCGGGGGCTGTGCGAGGCGGGCGGCGCTTGTGATCCAGAGGAAAGTCGCCCCAGAGGAAAAGCTGGGTTTTCTTCTAAGACGCTCTTGGCCCCGGGTTCTGGACTTCGTGGACATACAGTGAATTCTTCAAGAGTCAGTGTTGAAGGCAGGGTCCTGGTGAGAAGTGTGGCGGGAAACCCAAGTGAAATGGTGGCGAGTTTAGCCTCAGAGGAGGGAGGACTCATTCTGCTGCGTCCCTCTGGGTCACAGAAGGAACTTGCTAGAAGCCCAGTGGGAAGCAGAATTAAATATCATCTGTGACAGTCACAACTCACTGCCTATATGTGGCTCATCTTCTAGTTATTTCTCTAGTAAACATTCCCCCAACTCAAATGAAAACTGAAAACTGATTTTCCAGCCGAGCACTGGCACCTGGAAGTCTGACAGAAACCCGCTCTGTGGTCAGGGGTGCTCAGCCCTGACAGCCTGAGCTGGGTCTGAACGACTGCTGTCAGAGGCATGTCACCGGCTCCTCTCCCCTCCGTGTCTTCTCTCACTAACTGAAGGGGATGCTACTGATCGTCACCATGTAAATCGCCTCCCAGAGGGTGGTCCTTGCGGTTTACAAACCAGGCAGCTCTCAGTGCGCTGATGTCATGGAGCCCGAGCGAGTTCATTGCAGACAAGTGACACTGTTTGGGGGAGAGCTGAGAATGCTCCAGAAGTCTTGTTTCCTCTAGCTGAGTGACTGCCACTTGATGGGACAGGGAGGATGTGGTTGCGGGACGGGCTGAGACTCGGTCTACCTTTGTTTATCTGATCTGTGCAGAGATGTCCCATTTTGTGTCCAATGGCGACGGGCTGGTGGTGACTGTGGACAGTGAATCAGGTGACGTGCTGTGGATCCAAAACTATGCTTCTCCCGTGGTGGCCTTTTATGTCTGGCAGCGGGAGGGGCTGAGGAAGGTGATACACACCAATGTCGCCGTGGAGACCCTGCGCTACCTGACCTTCATGTCCGGGGAGGTGGGGCGCATCACCAAGTGGAAGTACCCCTTCCCCAAGGAGACGGAGGCCAAGAGCAAGCTGACGTGAGTCGGGGAACTCGGGGCAGAAGGGGGCCGCTGTGACCCTGGCGTTGGGGCCCTGCAGCGTGGCACACCACGCACTGGGGGCCAGCGCGCGGGCAGGTGTCTCTGAAGCCACGAGGAATGTAAAGAGCCAAGACTGGCTCATCAGAAACCCCAGACTGTAAGAAGTGGGGGCGCCCCTGGATGCTTCAGAATTCTTGAATATTAAATGAATTAAAATTACTGGTGGAGATAAGAAAGGGACAGTGGTATTCATATTGCAATTTGGATATATCTCAGATGGTGAGCATATAAGAGATGTATTTATTTTTCAACTTGCTGAATTTTTACTGAAAGTTATATTTGTTTAAAAAATCAGGCAAACAGTGTTGGGGTGCGTATATCTCTCAGTGGGTGTGTGCTCTCCATGCCAACCTGGGACTAGGTCTCGCAGTCTTGCTGAGGCTCAGTCTTACACTTGAGAGCTGCTGGGGAAGATCCAATAAGATCATGTTCTCTGGACTATACGCCACTATTCAAATGTGCGGTGTTTATTGAGAGGTTTCCAGAATTGAGTAGGTGACCAGCCCCAAACTGGCTACTGACCGTAACCAGAGGGTCTGACTCCACAGACAGAGCGAAACCACACCCCCTCCTTGGTGGCCCAGACAGGACCAGACCCCCCAGCAGGGGACGGGAAGTCTCACCCCGATTGGAATTTTGTGTGCAACCGTTTGCTGTGGCCTCCAGATTAGAGCAGTGGCTGTTTCTTGGGGCTTCTTCGGACCCTCGAGACTTCTTAAGACTCCAGGGCAGAATGGTGGTGCTTCTGGTGTCAGCCCAGTGGTCAACCGTGATGGTCAGGCCATCTCGGGCTTTGCAGAGGTCACAGTGTTCAGTCTCCTGGATGACCATTGCATGTGGTCCTTCCTGCAGGCTGTCGTAGGGATGGTTGAGTGCAGCCCTGCCCTTTGCAGATGGGGAAACTGAGGCAGTAGGTGGCAGCTGTAGCCCGCAGCCCAGTTCTCCCGGCAGTCAGGGCAGGAGTCTTGCCCTCAAACCCCCAGCATGCTTAGGAGTTAATCTGGTTACTCTCTGGGTGGTATTTGGGGCTGTAATTCTTCTCCCCAGAAAGCCCAGAATTTAAAGGACTGTGGAATGCATGTATCTGGTTCTCTCCTAGGCCCACCCTGTATGTCGGGAAATACTCTACTAGCCTCTACGCCTCCCCGTCAATGGTCCACGAGGGGGTCGCTGTTGTGGTAAGTCCACTGTGGGGGGAGGGAGGCTCACAGAGGCAGCCTCCTCACTGCTCCTGTTCCATTTGCACAGAGAATGACTTTGAATCCTACATAAACATTCCACTGATTAAGAATGCAAGACACAGATCTTAGATCCTCAAAAACCATTCCTACACATACCACCTTCTACTTTCGAGGAGAGCTGCATGACCAAAACAGCTGTCTGGGCCCAGGAAGCCTGGTCATTCCACTTTGCTTTGGTGTTTAAGTCTAAACCACCAGGCTGGTGCTTCTAGCCCTCCCCAATCCAGTCCCACGGTGCCCTCCCGCCCACTGATGGTGTCCAACCAAGTGCATCTCCTCGCTGATCTCGGAAGTTCCTTGTCCATTTCACTCAGCTTTTTTTCAGGCTGCGCCTCACACTTCCAGCCCTCTCCCTTTTTCCTTTTCCCTACTCAGGTCCTTTTCCATCCTTTTGTGACCTATCTGAGCCTCCTCGGCTCTCGCCAGCCCGCCTCCGGCTCACCATCTCTGGGCGTCTGAAGCCTCATGATTCTGGTTGCTCATTTGGTCGTTACAGTGTTTGAGCTGTTTGGCTGGCATCTCTTGTCTTCCCAATGAGTCAAGTTGGCCAGCTGCTCCCATGAGCAGGGCAGCGCCTGCCTCGGTTGAGGTCCAGCAATGCTGGAGCCGGCAGCGGGCTCAGGGCTGGAACTTATCCACCCTGGTCAGGTGCTTCTGTTGTGGATTGGGAGCTGCCCTGGCATCCTCTCCGCTTACACTGCTTCTCACTGTAGCCCTGGGAGCTCCACACACCCCTTCCTGTTCCCAGTTCCCAAAGGGATTTGAAAAGGTGCCCATGTTAAAGACCCTAGCATTAGCATTGTCACGTCCTGAGGGAGGAGCCTCCCTTGCAGTCTTACAGCATATGTATCTTGCTCTGACTGTCCTGGACCAGCCCCACCTAGAGGTATGACGTTCCCTTAGGTGCATAGGACAGTCACAGGGAAGGTCTTCTGCTCACCTGCTCCCAGGCCACCTGCTCACTGTATTCTGTCTCCACAGCCCCGAGGCAGCACTCTCCCTTTGCTGGAGGGCCCCCAGACTGATGGTGTCACCATTGGGGACAAAGGGGAGTGTGTGATCACACCCAGCACCGACCTAAAGTTTAACCCTGGGCTCAAAGGGAAGAACAAGCTCAACTACTTGAGGAACTACTGGCTTCTGATTGGTGAGTAGTTTCCAGGCACCGCAGGTCATATGCTGCCTCCTGGTGGGCAGAGCCGGCCTTGCTAGTTGCAGTCAACTGCGTTGTGCTCAGCTCATGTCCTGGTTGGTCTCTCAGGCCTTGAACACTTTTACCCCAAAGGGAAATAAACAGGGTAGCTGTGTTGCCAAATCAGTTCTCAAAAAATTGTTTGTTACAAAACGCAATTACTGTACTGAATACAGTTGTGTATCGCTTAACAGCAAGGATACAGTCTTGAGAAATGTGTCATGCGTCCTTAGGCGATTTTATTGTTTTGCAAACATCCCAGATTGTACTTACACAAACCTAGATGGCACAGCCTACCGTACACCTAGGCTCTGCGGTACAGCGTACTGCTCCTAGGCTACAAGCCTGTACAGCACGTTACTGCACAAAACAATGTGAGATTAAATCAAGCGCAAGAGAAACTGATGTGCTCAGGAGACATGGTAAACACGAGAGGTATGGGGCTGCTGACAGTGTGCCGTCGAATACTGTTCTACAGCAAACGTTTATAAGTAGAAAGATGCCACTTAAATTTTTTTGTTGTTGATTTTAGAGAGAGAGGAAGGGAGATGGAGAGACGTAGAGACATTGATGAGAGAGAACATTGACTGGCCCCCTCCTGCATGCCCCCCACTGGGGATCGGGCCCACAACCTGGGCATGTGCCCTGACTGGGAATCAAACCAGCGACCTCTTGGTGCATCGGTCAGCGTTCAACCAGTGAGCCATACTGGCTGGGCAGAAAGAGAACACTTTAAAATAGCAGTAAAAAGTATAGCATAGTAATACGTAAACCAGTGACATAGACATTTACTGGCCAGTGCTGCGCACTATACGTAATTGTGCGGTACTTCCACACGGCGGGCAGTGCAGTGGGCTTGTTTACTCCGGCAGCACTGCAAACTTGGGAGTAACGGGTTGTGCTATGACCTCATGATGGCGACGTCGCTGGGCGATGGAAATTGTTCCGATGGAAATTGTTCCGCTCTATTATAATCCTATGGTACCATTGTCCTATGTGCAGTCTGCCGCTGACCAGGACGTCGTTCCACGGCACGTGGCTGTGCCGTGGACTTTGGCAGTCATCTGCACATTGCATGCCTGTTGCGTGCCGGGCATTGGCCCCAAGCACTTTAGAATGCATTTCCTTATTTTTCACAACGACCCTGTGGGAGATAGCACCCTGGCGCTTCCATTTATAGTTAAGGAGATCAGAGCAATTTGTGGACGAATTCACTTGAGGTTGGTATGGGAGAGGAGAGGGGGGAGGAAGGGTTGGGGACCAGTAGGGACTGAGGGTGGGGAAGAGTTTGAGGCTGGGCCCGGGGCCAGGGGCCAGGGCAGAAGCCCTCTTCCTGCTCTGCTGTTGCTGCCACCACTCTTCTGCTGTCAGCCAGCCAGATAAGACACTGAGATGGCACCCGAAGGCAGTGAGTGTGACCAGTGATGGCAGAGGTGAGAGGAGCTCTGTCTCTGGCCAGGATCCCAAGTAATTACAGCAGGACAGAGTGTTCTTGAATCTGATTGGCCTCTCCTGTGCCCCCACCCCAGTTCTGCTGCCTCCCAGTCCCACAGGTGGTGAGAGGTGGGTATGCAGCCCCAGGGAGTGGGGTGAGCAGGAGGGAAGGGGGGTACCAGAGTTCACTGGGGCTAGTGAGGTTTCTCCTCCTCACTCTCCCTCTTGCTGTTCTCTGCTGACTGGTCCCTGGGCAGAGAGAGGGCAGAGCCAGGCGCTGGGAAAGGGATGCAGAGCAGCCTGGGAGAGTGCAGGGCCTCAGGGCTGGGTCTGCCGGGCAGTGTCACTGGGTGGGACAGAGAGGAAACAGGGTGTACTCGAGCCCTGATCATTCTTCTTGTCACTGTCCAGGTCTTGCTCTTCTGTGTTCATCCTTACTCCTGTGGCCATTTTTCTTTGGGTTATTATTTTAACCAAATAATGGGCAAAGGAGATGGCAAAATAATTCGACCTTGTTTTTTAACAGAAGTGGTTTAGGAAACGTGTGAATGGCCCACAGTAAGAAAAACATAACCAAAGAGCAGAGACCACTGGAATGACAAGGCCACTCAGTCTGATGTGCCAGCTACAGGGAGCACACAGACGGCGTACTAGTGGTTAAGAAGTGGACAGAATTACTGGAAACTAAGGAAGAGTGTATGTAAGACTATGAAAAATACAGAAAAAATCGTCATGGCTCAGTTACAAAATGATATTTTCAAAAGGAAAAGTTGCTCAAGTAAGAAAACTGAAAAACTCAACAAAGTCCATGTAAGGAAGTAATGAGGGAGGCATCCCACAGTTCTGAAGGCCCTTTCGAGGAACCCCAAAGCCTGGCCATTTTCAAACAAGGCCATGGGACCACGTGACCACCTTTGTGTAGACGGGGGCCACAAGGCGAAGGACACGCTCTTTTATGTTACACTATGTACGTTCTTTGATTTGGTTTTTGTGGAAGAAGTTAAGGACCAGTAGGGACTGACACCCCACATCACATCAATCTTGAAAGTAAAATGAATCCACTTAGGTTCAGTGACGTGGTCTGTGGGTTGCCCCAGAGCAGTTGTCTTAACCTGGGGTGCTCTCGGCCTCACCTGGGAGCTTTGTCAGGTAGGCCCTGGAGATCCCTGAGATCCTGAGTCAGTAGGTCCAGGGAGCCTATGCTTTTTCTCTGGAGTCCAGACATAATTGATGATGATAGATAAATAACTAAAACCCAGGTACTGTTTACATAAAAATGTTTCCAGATCTCATGATTATGTTTGTAGCATAGTTGGGTCAGAATGTGAAGCCTAATGTTACTAAGGTCCAGGTCCAGCTAAGGGAGAGGCCTGTTTATAAGAAGAAATGCAGGAAGAAGAGGAATGTGGGCTAATCACTTTCCATGGCAGTCAGGTGGTAGGTGCCCTGCTGGAGGGGCAGAACTTGGAGTGCTAAGAGTGGGCATCGGGGGTGGGGGCAGGCAGGGCTCTGCAGCCCAGGTGGCATGTGGAAGGCACAACTTGATTCTCTTGGAGCGAAGGTCTTCTGCTAGCCTCAGGGGTACCCGGAGATACTGCGTTCAGATCCCTGGGCCCCGCCAGCAGGTCTGAGTCCGAGGTCTGAAGCCGCAGACCACACGTACGGAAATCCGGCTCCCCAGCAAAGCATGTCTCAGAGTGCTTTGGCTGACAATGAGCAACTCATGGCGTTCAGAACAGAATTAGGCTCCCCTTAGAGGACAGCATTCTGTTGTGGACAGAGAACTGACCTAACGATAGGGACTTGAGGATTTTTCTGGATCAAGAGATGTACGTAGCTTGGACTGGCTCTTTCTTGTTTGTTTGTATCTTGGCAATACATTGTAAAACTTTCGAGCGGTTCGGGAGGATAGCGGAAAGACCACGGTGAGATCTGGTCTCGGCGAGAGAATAAACAGGAACGTGTGTCGGGGTGCCAGCAGCCCAGAGTTGCGGGAATAGGGATAGAGCTCCCCGAGCAATTTAAATACCACGATGGGACGTTGATTCTCTTATTCGAGTGATGTTACAAGGATAAGTGTTGGGAGAACTCCTTGAACTTTTTTTTTAATTGACTTTAGAGAGAGGAAGGGAGAGAGAGAGAGAGAAAAACATCGATATTGATGTGAGAGAGAAACATTGACTGGTTGCCTCCCACATGTGCCCTGACCAGGAATCGAACCCACCACCTTCTGGTGTACGGGTCAGTGCTCCAGCCGGCCAGGGCTCTGAACAAAGCTTCCTAATGTTTCAGCAGCAGACAACCTAAGTTAGGAATTACGCACCCAAGTCTCGCCCTGGAACATATCCCCAACCTGATTCCTCTCTCGACAAGGAGATGCCTCCTCATGAGATTCAGAATACTGTATACATGCTACTAAGTAACGAAATTTCAGTCTTGATGAGAAATGTCTGGTAACTGCCTCTGTGTTCTCTCCCTTTGCAAACGTGAATGTTTGCATGTGGGCCTCTCAGCCGCTGGTGACTGCCGCCCGAGCTGGGCATCGAGCGCTGCCACCGCTGAAAGGCTCTGTTCTCCCCCAGGGCACCATGAAACACCGCTGTCCGCGTCCACCAAGATGCTGGAGAGATTCCCCAACAATCTGCCCAAGCACCGGGAGAATGTGATTCCTGCCGACTCGGAGAAAAAGAGCCGTGAGGAAGTGAGTGGGGAAGTGAACAGTCACCGGCTCCGCGGGTCAGGTGCTGGGGGTGAGGCACTGGCCCCGGCCTTGCAGCCCGGGTCGGCTCAGCGGGGAGTCCATGCACACCACATGCTGCTAAGGACCCATGGGGAGGAAGGAGATGGCCGTTAGCAAAAGCTGTAGGAAAGGCAGCTGGACCAAATGGTGGGACAGAGGCAGAGGGCCCTGGAGGGAGGAGAAGAGCAGGTGCAAAGGCCTGGAGGTGGGACTGGCCCTGGTGTGTCCAGCCGTGGGGCCGAGGAGACAGGCCTGACCAAATCTGAGGTTACCAGGTGGGTCCAGTGAGAAGCAGGATCACTTGGCCACAGAAGAACCATACAGAGGACACTTGGACAAGCCTGGCAGCAGAGTGAAGACGAAGAGGGGACGTGTGAAGACCTGAAGTTCAGTGGCTGAAGTCTGGTGGACGCGTGGTCTGGCAGGACCCAGCGCACCTGCAGTCTAGAGCATTGGGCAGCAGGGAGGCCAGCCCGTGGTACCTGCTGTGGGGTGACCTGGGCTGCCCTCCTGCAGCCCTGGGGACAGAGTGTGCTAGTCAGGGTCAGCTGCAGACGGATGGCCACCCATTTTAGGGTGATATGAGGGGAGTTTAAGAGAGGGGCTGCTCACATAGGTGACAGTCCCAGCAGGTCTGTTACTAGTTTGGCCTGAAGCAGGAGGGGAGGGAGTGGAAAGGGTCCCTAGACCAGGAGCCTAGAGCTTCAGTTGAGGGTATTCAGCAGCCTCACTGAACTTGACCTCACTGTCCTCCTTCCTCTGTCTCATCTGCTGGTTCCTCAATCAGAAGCCAGAGCACAGGGGAAACCGTTGCTCTGCCCATCTGGGGCAGCTTTCTGGGGCACAGAGCAGGTGGAGAAGGCCAGAGAGCATCTGCAGAAGGGTTGGGGTGGGGCCCGAAGGCCACTGGGGCTTGGCAGTTTCTGCAGCCCTGTCTGGGGGCCTGGTGACCGTGAAGGGGCCTGGGTATGGGCATGGTCAGAGGAAGATGAGAGTTGGCTGGCCGATGGGGGAACCACGATCACAACAAATTCACGTTATAGATTTAGATTTTATCCAGAGAAAAAAGAAAAGAGAATCATATTGGCATCTAAGATTCCAGGGCAAAATATCTGTGTTGTCCCTCATCTCTGGAGGTCACCAGGTTGGGAAAATACACCAACTCCTAAAAGTGATCTTGGATAGCAATGATGCCCTAAAATCTTGGTCTGGTTTTGATTTATTCAAGTCAAGCATATCCACTCTTAAACACTTAGAAAATACAAGTATAAAGAGGAAAATCAGACATTGCCCTCAGTCTTACACCCAGACATGCCCCAGTTGAGATGTTCATATTTAATCATCCAGTCTTGAATAGAGACACTTCTGAAAGTCCATTAAAATACTGAGGTGCATTTTTATGGTAATAAGACTTAACTATTTTCAATGAACATACCAGAGCAAATATAACCAAATGAGTGTTGTCTGGGATCACGTGCTCAGCAGACATTCCTCAGCTTCCGGCTACACACCAGCCGTGACACCCCCCATACATGTGGGAGGGAGGCTGCTGGAGGAGAGAAGGGCACTGTAGGCAGCAGTCTGGGGGTGGGGGTGAGCAGTGTGAGCATGGGGGGTCGGGCCCTGCGCTCGCCGCGGAGGCAGTGCTTATGTCACCAGGAAAACAGTAACGCTCACCGGAACACTGGGTGCACGGAACCGAACCAGCGCATTTTCCTGAATGATTCTTGAAGTTCTAGAGATTCTGAGGAGCTTGGACAGAAGCTCTATTTTCATCCGATTTAATTGGGGGCTTCTGAATAGAATTTTCTTTAACAAAGGGTTCTGATGCCTTTCAAGAACTTTGAAATATAGTGGATACTTGAATAAATGACTGGTTTTGGAGTCGTACTAAAAGTTACAAACAACACAAGAAAGCTGCGTTTTTACTTGACAGCCACGTGTGTGCGTGCATGTGTGCACATGTGTGTGCGTGCGTGCATGTGTGTGCGTGTGGTTTCCCTTTGTCATGTGAGATGGCATTTCCAAACGGGCCACTAGTCTTCTCACCAGACTTAATTGTAGATGATTTCAGAGTTTTCCCAACTATTAAGCCTACCACTAAAGGAGGTGTTTTTTGTCTTCGGCAAGGATTGTTGGAAGCGTATAGGATCTGAAGGCACTTTCAAATGTATTGCTCTGCAGACTGCTCTTGAGTAACGATAGCATCACAGCAATAATTCACCTCAAGCAGTCGCTTTGAAAAAGGCAGCGATTACCTGGCTTGTGCTCTGTGGGTGGGCTTGCAAAGAATCCAGTACCTTTCACAGTATAATCATTCCTGGTGACTGGTCGGTGCTTCTCCTGATGGGCTCATTTATATCTCGCTCGAAACTTGCAGTGATGTGACCACTCTCTCCCCTACAAGGTTATCCACCTGGTGGACCAGACTTCTCCAAATGCACCCACCGCCGTTTCTCAGGACATGGAGGCAAAGTTTGCTCATGCCCCTGCCAAGCCCGAGGCCCCCATGGACTCCATGCTCAAGGACATCGCCACCATCATCCTCAGCACCTTCCTGCTCCTCGGCTGGGTGGCCTTCATCATCACCTACCCCATGGTAAGGCTCGGCCCCTTCCCCCGCCCTCCCACGTTCTGCACTTCTGTGCCTGTCACCCAATGTCACTGAGGTCCGGGCAGAAGCAGCACATAAGCAAAGACATTTCATTTCACATTTAAAAATTTATACTTGCTAATCTTCAAAATCATTCTAATTAAAGAGACACTAGCTTTTCAAAAAAGGACGGTTTTGTACCTACGTCTTATAGTTTAACTGTACAAACGGATTTGTAACCTTGTTTACAGCTCCTTTTGAATAGTTCACTATGTTTTCTTTTTTTAAGACTAGCCATAATAGCTCAGCCTTTGTGGCTCAGCCATTGTGGCTGAGAGTCGACCCACGCACCAAGAGGTCACTGGTTCGATTCCCGGTCAGGACACATGCCCAGGTTGTGGGCCCGATCCCCAGTGGGGGGCATGCAGGAGGAGGCCAATCAGTGTTCTTGCTCATCAATGTTTCTATCTCTCTCTCCTTCTCCCTTCCTCTCTCTAAAATTAATAAAGAAAAAAAATTTTTTTTTAAAGACCAGGTGGGAAAAAAAAGAATAGGCATAACAGATAAAATTCTTCTAACTTTTGTCCCTCAAAAACTGACTTAGAGATATCAGCCAGAGTGAAAAGGCGGCCTGGTAATCCCTTCTGCTTTCTAGTTGGAAGTGAGGGAGCTGAAGTCACAGAGTTGCGCAGGTCATGTGCTGGATAAAATATGCTAGAGGAATGAAGTCCCTTCGCCGGGTTGCTCTGAGCCCTGAAATGTTATCACCTTAGATCACAGTGCTCGGGACGCCCATTTCCATTAGCAGTAGGATCGATAAACCCTTTACTTTTGGGGCACTTTCCATATGTTTAAGTGGGTTTACCTGCACTGTTTTATTTTTTTATCTCGCATAGTCCTATGAGGTCATTATTATCTATCCCCTACCTGCAAGTGAAGAACTAGGCTCTGGGAAGTTAAATAACTTCCCGAGTTTACTCAGCTAGCGGATGGCATTTCCAGGACTTCAGCCCAAGGCTCGGAGAGAGGGAGAGAGCACTGGAAAGCTCCCGGTGGGTTCTCGGACACTGCCTGTCCCTCAGTCACCTTCCCAAGCCTGGGCAGTAATAATCACAGACTGCTCTGCTCCCAATTATGCCAGAATGAACTTTCAGAATAAATGAGAGGTGCGTGGGGGTGTGGGGAAGGCAGTGTGGTGAAGGGGGAGTGCCTCAGCCCATTCTGCCACCCCCTGGCCGCGTGGCTGAGGGCTGGAGGCTGCCAGGTTCTGAGCCCCAGCTGCCTCCTCTGCCTCTGGATTGCGGACAGTCTGTGCCCTACCCTCTGTGGGGTGTGTGGCCACAGTACCAAGCCGGTCTCCCCCGTATCCACCCCGCTCTCAACCATTCTTCCTATTTGGTTTTACGTTTGCAAGAACTTCTTGACTTGTATAAATGTCCCTCCTCTGCTGCCCCTGCCTGGTGGCCATTCAGCCTCCTGTGGGAGGAATGGGCTGTCCTGGGAAGTCTAACTGGCAGAAGGACCTCTAGCCGTTGAACGGATCCTGCCTCCTGCGCTTGCCACTGGTCTCCTCCCGCCCTGTGGGGTCATATAAAATGCACCTGCTTCTCTTGCACAGGGAGCCTCTCCCTGCCTGCCTGCTGGTGTCCCAGGGAACAAGCTGCATCTGTCTGGATATGTGTTTCTCTCCCCAGAGCATGCACGAGCAGCGGCAGCTCCAGCACCAGCAGTTCCAGAAGGAACTGGAGAAAATCCAGCTCCTGCAACAGCAGCAGCTACCCTTCCATGCACCTGGAGACATGGCTCAGGACGCTGAGCTCCTGGACTCGTCCGGCTTATACTCGGAGAGCTCGGGCACCAGCAGCCCCAGCACGTCCCCCAGAGCCTCCAACCACTCCCTTCACTCCAGCAGCTCTGCCTCCAAGGCGGGCAGCCCCTCCCTGGAGCAGGATGACGAGGGTAAAGCGAGTTGCCTTTGAATATCATCCGAGAGACACAGCACCATGGCCTTCCTGGGAGTGTACATGGGGTTACGAAGTACCGTTGTTCCCAAGGGTTCAACGTGTTCTCACCGACTCCCTCCCACTCTGGGGACCAGGGTTCTGTCCCATCTTGTGGCCTGTCCCCCTCAGAAGGCCTTATGGGGGCTCCCTTGGCCCTCCTTCCATCTTGCCCAACAAGGGCTGGAGATCACTGTTGACCAGAGGTGCACCGGCCACCTGGCTTGAGAGCATCTTGAGGCCAGCCAGGGGCCAAGGAAGGAAGTGCAACTGTTGGTCCACTTGCCCCTGGGAGGTTGGCTCAGGCCAGTTGTCAGGACAGGAGACCTTGGATCCTAAGTCCCAGGCTGGAGACTCCCACTGGTCTCTTCATTTCACACGTCCAACCATTGCTACCCAGTGTTTCAGATGCACATCCTTGAATGGATCTGTAGAAAACCCGTCTTCAGGAAGGTGTGAGACATTCTTACCGCTTGCAGAGGCAGGACCAGGGGACGGAGAGGAGGTGGCCCATGCACGAATGGGGAGTGGGTCCAGCATCTCCTGCCTACTGGGTCCTGGGGCATGGAGCCTCTGAGGTGCCGTGTAGTAATCTGAGCTCAGGAAGCTAGTAGCCATTCTGACCTCAAGGTTGTTTAGATTCTGTGTGTTGAATACAGTCCCTTCTTTTTTGCGCTTTGTCTCAGATGAGGAAACCAGCATGGTGATGGTTGGGAAAATTTCATTCTGCCCCAAGGATGTCCTGGGCCACGGAGCGGAGGGCACGATTGTGTACCGGTGAGTGGATCGGGAGCCCTGTGCCTTCACCACGTCAGGTGGGAGTGACTGCCAGCTTGCCGGCGGTGTGCCAGGCTCCAGGGCACAGCAGGGTCATAGCCCCGACTCAGGTGGAAGAGTTCCGCCTGCAGGAGAGAAGAGATGACCAGGGGCCGGTTGGGGCCTTCTGGGCTGTGAGGCTGATGACTGGCCCCTGTGTCACAGGAGGAGCATGTGGGTCCGCAGGTCTGTCATTTCCACTGCCCCCTGGCATCTCCCAACCCAACCGTGCTCCTTGTCCTGCAGGGGCATGTTCGACAACCGTGACGTGGCCGTCAAGAGGATCCTCCCCGAGTGCTTCAGTTTCGCCGACCGCGAGGTCCAGCTGCTGCGAGAATCTGACGAGCACCCGAACGTGATCCGGTACTTCTGCACAGAGAGGGACCGGCAGTTCCAGTACATCGCCATTGAGCTGTGCACGGCCACGCTGCAGGAGGTGGGTGCCCGCGGTCCCAGCAGCGTCGCTGTCGCTCAGCCTCCCTTCCGCCGGCAACGGGTGTGGTTTCAGGAACTGCTGATTCGTTGTTTCAATTTCTTTTTATTAACTTTATTGAAGTTATAATGTACTTATTTTAAATGTACAGTTTGATGCATTTTGACAAAGTTGTATACCCATTTAACCACAATCAAAATGTAGAGCATTTTTATCACCCCAACTTGAACCGGGTGGTCCCCTCAGCCTGCCTGGGGCAGTGTTTTGTGGTGGTCAGCACCTGTTCTCTTTTGGCCTCCAGAACACCTGGCTGGTCCTTCTCCCGGGGCTGCTGTGGGCTTAGAGGATGCTTTTCGATGACTCAGGTCGTTAGGATCATCCAGGGAACTCCTTGTGCTCAGTTTCCAACTCAGCGTGAAGCTATCTCAGTGTCCTTCGCCCGTGGGCTTGCCTGTACGGGGCCCTCAGCCTGAGTTTTTGCCCACTTATCTTTCCCATTGTAAGCTAGTAAGTTGGAGCTCAGTTTGCTGGTTTGAATTATCCTGTGATTGCCCTGGTCAGTTTGATTCAGCAGTTAGAGTGTGTCCGCCCACGGAGTGAAGAGTCACGGGTTCTATTCCAGTCACGGGCATGTACCTTAGTTGCAGTTTGGTCCCTGGCTCTGTTCAGGGTTGTGCAGGAGGCAACCGATCTATGTCTCTCTCTCACATCAGTGTTTCTCTCTCTCTCTCTCCCTCTGTCTCTCTCTTTCCCTCTCTCCTACTCTGTCTGAAAATAGATGGAAAAATATCCTCGGGTGAGGATTTAAAAAAAAAGTATCCTGTGACTTCAGGAAGAAGTCTGCTAGAAAATAAGGATAAGGACGAAGAATATCGTCAGTAAAACTTCCCATTTCTTTCTTAAAATATGATCAAAGAAAATGATATTTAACACTTAATACCAAGTGTTAAAAAGCCAATGGCAGAATTTTTCTAAATAAAATTGAATCACTTTTAAAAAAAAGAAAGAAACAGAATACACCGAGGGGCCGAGTTCCGAGGCCATGAGCCGGGAGCTAGCGTTGTGTGTCTTGCAGTACGTGGAGCAGAAGGACTTCGCCCACCTCGGCCTGGAGCCCATCGCCCTGCTGCAGCAGACCACCTCCGGCCTGGCCCACCTGCACTCCCTCAACATTGGTGAGAGGCCCCTTCACCAGGCCCCAGCCTGGGCGGGCCACCAGCTCGCTTGGGTGGGCCTTGCCTCTGCCAGAGAGAGCTCTGTGCTGCATCACTGGGTGCAGGGGTGTAGGAATTTGAGGGGCCCTCTCACGCAGTTGAAACCTTTGGCAGTCTGAGGAGGGTGCGCGACCAGTGCAGGGGAGGCTGCCACTGCTGGGGGTTGATGCTGGACTAACCCAAAGTCTCGTGTTAGTTCACAGAGACCTGAAGCCGCACAACATCCTCCTCTCCATGCCCAGTGCCCACGGCAGGATCAAGGCCATGATCTCTGACTTCGGCCTCTGCAAGAAGCTGGCCGTGGGCAGGCACAGCTTCAGCCGCCGTTCGGGGGTGCCCGGCACCGAAGGCTGGATCGCTCCGGAGATGCTGAGCGAAGACTGCAAGGAGAACCCCGTGAGTAGTGAGCACAGTCCTTTGGCAACTGCGGCCTCTTGTCTCTTCAGGAGTAAGAGCCTCCAACTTCTAGACGTGGGCCGGGGCACGTGGAGCTGGAGGGACGCTTGCTTCACAGAGAGCACGCTGCTGGCCCGCCCCACACCGTGTCACGGCCAGATGAGCAAAGGGGCGGTGGGGCAAGTGCCTGTGGGCTTTGTCCCTCCTTGTCCAGTCACTCTGGAGGGAGGGGGAAGAGAGAGAGAGCTCAGAATTTGCATAAGGTGAACAGACTTCCAGTTCTTACTCGTTTTTTCCGTTTTTGTTTTCCCAACTTTCTATTTGAGAATTTTTAGACGCACAGAAAATGGGAAGTCTGTTTCAGTGAATATCTCTGTACCTCCGCCCAGATTCAGCATTTGTTAATATTTTTCACTGTCTGTTGCTGAACCATTTGAACATAAGAAGGTCTGCTTCCTAAGCTTTATAACAGTATTAGTCCCCAATAGTTAGCGTTTGATGTCTAACATTCGGTCCATATGCAGATTTCCCCAGATGTCTCTTACGGAGCTGGTGTTTGTACACCAGGGTCCAGTCAAATGCCTAGCGTTGCATTTGGTTATCTCTCCTTTAATCTCCGTCAGTCCTCTGACCTCTTTTGTTCCGTGGCTGTGACTATGTGAAGAACACAGGCATTTGTCTGTAGAAAGCCCTGTTTGGGATTTGCTCCCTCGTTTCCTCGTGGGTTTTTTTTGTTAATTTTTTTATCCTCACCCAAGGACATTTTTGCATTTATCTTCAGACAGAGCGGGAGGGAGAGAGGGGGAAGAGAGAGAGAGAGAAACATCGATGTGAGCAAGACACATCGATTGGTCGCCACCCACACGACCCCAACCGGGGCCTGGGGACAAACTGCAATCGAGGTATGTGCCGTTAGCGGGAACTGAACCCGGGACTCTCTGGTCCGTAGGACGATGCTCTAACTGCTGAGCAAAACTGGCCAGGGCCCTCATGGTGGTGTTTAACTTGCTTGTCTGCTCCTTGGATTTCCTGGGAACTAAAAGTGAGTCTAAAGGAGCAATGGGATTGGAATTCAATGTTTCTGGTAGAAATGGTCACTGGACACAGCATCAGGAGGCGCGAGGTGGCAGGTGTACCAGTGGACTCCTGCTAGTGAACTTGGCTCACCTGGTGCAGGTGGTGACCGCTTTTATCTCCACTGTGAAGTACGTGTTCCGCTTTGTTGTTAGTTCTGTGTGGGGTGATATTTTGGCACAGTGGGAATGTCCTGTGAACCGACAGTCATTAACCCAGTGGTGCAGCACCCACTGACAGTCCTGCCCAGAATCACTGACTCTGGGACTTCTGCATTTACTTGCTGACATTTTTCCGTAAAGAAGAGCTTTGTGCCCTGGCTGGTTTGGCTCAGCGGTTAGAATGTCAGCCTGCGGTCCACAGAGACCCGGGTTCGGTTCCCGCTAAGGGCATGTACCTTGGCTGCAGTTTGTCCCCGGCCCTGGTTGGGTCGTGTGGGTGGCGGCCACTTGATGTGTCCCTTTCACATCAATGTTTCTCTCTCTTCCTCTCTCTCCTTCCCGCTCTATCTGAGTAAAAAATGGAAAAATGTCCTCGGGTGAGGATAAAAAAAAAAAAAAAAAAAGAAGAGCTTTGTTTTTTATCCCCCTTCTCTCTCCTTTTCTTTTCTTTTTCTTTCTTTCTTTTTTTGTCACTATAAATTCATGGATTTTTAAAGTAGTGTTAAAATCCATTATAGTCCTTTTTATTTTTATTTTATTTTATTTGTTTCTTCTTTTGATACTCAAATTGTTCCAGACTGGGCCCCTGGGTGCCCTTCCGGCAGGCTGCTTCATCCTTTGGCTAAGAGCCTGTTCGAGCTTCAGCCCCTTAGCCTGGGCTTCCTGACCCAGATCAGGTTCTGTGGGGCCGTGTCATCCGGTTCCCTGGGACCAGCACTGGACAGCTAATCAGAGAAGTCGGTTACGATGAAGCGTCACAAGGACATTCGTCACATTTTAAGCATAGTTTAACTTAAAGCGAGCACTGTGATTTGTTAAGTAATAGAAAGCGTTGATATAGGTCAAGGTTTTGCTTCGAATGTGGATCCAACTTGAATGGAATTGTTCTTTTCCTCTTGTGTAAGGCACACTCACGTGCCCTTTCTGTACCTTCTGGGTTGAGACTTAGACATTTCAAACACTTCCTAAGAGCCGGATCCTAGTTTTTTGTTGTTAATCCTCACCCGAGGATTTTTTTTCCATTGATTTTTAGATGCAGTGGATGGGGTGGAGAGAGAGAGAGAGAAACATCAGTGTGAGAGACACATTCATTGATTGGTTGCCTCCTGCATGACCCCGACCAGGGCTGGGGGCGGGGTCAAACCTGCAACCCAGGTGCATGCCCTTGACAGGGAATCAAACTCGAGACCCTTTGGTCCAGGGCCGACGCTCTAACTTCTGAGTCAAACCAGCCAGGGCCAGAATCCTAGTTTTTAACTACTAATGTCCCTGCCTCTTACGGATGAGTCTCCCACATCTAATTCGTAGGAGTTTTGGGGCCACTCCCTTATATTGAATCTTTGCAAGGATTCAGCTCTCCTCCAACTTGTTGGCAGTCGTATTTTAACCATATGGAATATTTAAATTACAAGAACAAGTGGCAATAGTAAGTTTGGGGAAGAATATAACTGAGCGTAGAGATGAGCTGGAGGGAGCAGAGGGACCCAGGCACGTAGGACAAGAGCTCCCCGGCATCAGTGTTGAGTGTCCTGGGCGTCAGGCAGCACAGGCTGTGGAAAATGGGGAGCTTTAATGAGTAGGTGAAGTGACAGGTAAGAGCTTCAGCTGTGGTGGACTTGTTCCTCCTGTCCCGAATCTGTCGGCTACGTGAGGACAGCTGTGATGAGACAGAGTAAAGATGGCTGGGCTCGGGAATTAGAGGACCCGAGTCTTGTCCTGGTTGTCACTGTCCTGCAGTGACCCAGGGTTCGTCACTCACTGAACCTTTCTGTCCATGTCTTTGGGAATGGTGGCACTTGCTGTGCTCACCTCAAGGGCGGTTTTGAGGGTGAGTGACAGTGTAGTACCGTTACAGGCGTGTGTTCTGCAGTGTGGAAGGTGAGAGCTGCTGGGGTTCTCCCCCTGGGTCCTCACGTGTCTGCTGGAGAATCTCCGTGGTGGAGCCCAGCAGCAGGGAGCCACCCAGTGTTACATCCAGGTAGTGCAGGCTCGAAATCAGGCACACTTCCCTGCAGAGAAGTCCCCGCAGACACAAAATGGCTCGTGGGATTTGTGAGAGGAGTTTTTGAACCAGCAAGTGTTTTATTTGTTCATTAACAAAGTTTTAAGACCTGTCGTGAGCAGACACTGTGCTACGCCCTGGGGTACACTAGGGAGGCAAGTGCACAGAAATCCCTGCCTCCGAGGAGCTCCCCGAGGGCTGGGTGAGAGCAGCCAACGGCCAGGGGGTGCTTCCTGTGGGCCCCACTTGGGTGTAGGTACGTGTTTACATTACTGCACTCAGTCTTCACAACGTCCCCACGGGAAGCATAGCATTGTTCTCTCCATTTTCCTTGGAGGACAGTGAGGTGCAGACTGGTCAGGCTGGCAGGTGGCAGAGCCAGCGGCCCGGCAGTGAGCTCCAGAGTCCACGTTCTCGAAGGTGAACACCCGACACCCTGCAGGCTGCCCAGCCCCACTTGGAGCATTGCCAACGTTAGCTGGTCCTCCTACGACACCTTCAACGCGGGGGAAGTAGTGGCCGCACTCCTCTCTGCGGCTGAGAGGGGAGAGGTCCCAGAAGTCCTCTGACACCCACACTTCTTTTCAGACCTACACAGTGGACATCTTCTCTGCTGGCTGCGTCTTTTACTACGTGATTTCTGAGGGCAGCCACCCTTTCGGCAAGTCCCTGCAGCGGCAGGCCAACATCCTCCTGGGCGCCTACAGCCTCGACTGCTTGCACCCCGAGAAGCATGGTGAGCGAGCGCAGGGCGGGCAGGGCGAGAGCCACTCCTAGGTGCCCGAGTAGCCCGAGGCCGGATGGCTTCCTTCTCTCCAGCTGCTCACCGGTGGCCGGGCGGGGCTCTTCTTGGAGCACCTCCTTCTAAAGCAAGAAGCTCTGAGTTTCCTTCAGGTTACCCAGTTACCTGTGTGACCTGGGCAAGACCCCCTTTGGGGACCCGTGTTTTCCAGCTTGTGACTTGTGAGGGTTAAATAATCCGAGGTCCTTCCTGCACCGACATTCAGGAAGACACGTGGTCCGTGCGTCATCTACTGGACTGTCTCCTGCCTGCAGCTGTGGTTGGGGTGCAGACTGGGGTGGGGACAGGCCGCTTTGTCCTTGCTCTCGAGGCACCAGCACCAGCCTTTCTTCCTGACTTCAGGGCGTTCTGTGTCATAATTCGCCCATGACACCCAGTTGTTATTTCTTAATTAAAATTAACTTACTGTTTTGCTTATGGATTAATTTTCCTTATTCCCTGTAGAAAAACAGAACAGTTTAAGGCCCGTAATTCCATTATACAGTGACGAATGACTGCTTTCGATACCTTTGTATATTATTCTTGTCATCTATCTAGACATATATGCATGTTTTATTTAAAATGAGGTTGAAAGGTACATACTGTTTTGCAACATGCTCTTTTTTTTAGCTTCCCCTTGAATGTCTCTCTGTGTTGATCATATTGAGCCAGGGCGTCATGCTCAGGGCCCCCAGTTCAGGCTGTGGAGGCGTGGCAGTCACCCGAGCCTCTAATAGTGGGTATTTCCAGCTCTTTCCACAAACCGTGGTGAGGACTCTCCTCGTTAGCTGAAGATTTTGTGGAAGCTCTTAATTATGTTATTGGAATGAATTCCTGTCAGTGGAATCCTGAGTCCAAGGACGTGTGGATGCCTAAGGTTGGGGTAGTTCGCTGTGGCGTTGGGCTGCTGATCACGCGTCGCTGTTTGTGGTCCTCCGTAGAAGACGTCATCGCCCGGGAACTGATAGAGAAGATGATCGCAATGGATCCTCAGAAGCGCCCGTCAGCGAAGCACGTGCTGAAACACCCCTTCTTCTGGAGCCTGGAGAAGCAGCTGCAGTTCTTCCAGGTGGGGCGTTTGTTTTCTTCACCCAGACTCGCATTTAACTTTCTCCAGGTTTTGAAAAGATAGCAAGGACAAATTATAAAGCAAACGATCCAGCCCTGGCCAGGGGGGCTCAGCGGGTTGGAGCGTCGTCTCGTACACCAAAAGGTGGCAGGTCCAATTCCCTGTTGAGGCACATGTGGGAAGTAGCCCATCAATGTTTCTCTCTCACGTCGATGTTTCTCTTCCCTCCCTCCCTTCCTCTAAAATCAAATCTTTAAAATGTTTTTAAAAATCCCCACAAATGATCCATGATCCCATAACTAGCAGTAACCAGGCCTGACATATTAATATATTTTCTTCATAAAAGTGTGATTAGGATCAAACTATGTATACAGTTTTGTACCTTGCTACTTACTGCCTTTTTTTTTTTTTTTTTTTTTACTGTATATAATATTTTAAGTATTTTCCATGTTAAAGTTCTAAAATGTTAATTCCAGTTGTACTCCACCATATAGATGGGCCATAACTTGAAAACTTTACACTACGGGAACTTTCAAGTGCACAAAGGTGGAGGGAGTACGATGATGAACTCCCGGTTAGCCGTCAGCCCGTTTCCGCAGTTACTAACCCGGCCTCTGCCCTCTCCACCCCGGGTGATTTTGACGTTTCCTCAGGCGTCATATAATTTCATTCAGATTTCATAGCTTTAAACATTTCCTTATATTGGATTTTTTTCTATCCTCTTGTACTCAGTCCTTGCCCAGATTTTAAGGCAGAGGTTAAATTATAGGCTCAACGGACATGATCTCCTTTAGCGCTTTAATGCTTTAAGGCCTCGTGGCATTGCCAGGTATTTGGGGAGGTGATACGTTTCTGTCTTCCCTGGCGAGAAATGCAGGCGAGGTGAGGGTCTGTGGGCAGGTGTGCACCGGTGTCATCGCTGTCGTGGAGACGGTCAGTGTGGGCCTCTCGGCAGTGAGCAGCGGACATGAGCTCCGAGGACGTCCGCAGACGGGGAGGCAGGGGCTTGCCCACCCCCGAGACAGGCTCAGCCGGGCTGAGACTCGGGTCGCAGTGACCGCTCTTACTGGCGTCGATCCTCCAGCTCTCAGCTTCTCTCCACACTGACCACCACCTGTGGCCCCTCGCAGGACGTGAGTGACCGAATCGAAAGGGAATCCCTGGACGGCCCGATCGTGAAGCAGCTGGAGAGAGGCGGGAGAGCTGTGGTGAAGATGGACTGGAGGGAGAACATCACCGTCCCCCTCCAGACAGGTGACCACGCAGAACCCTGGGAGTAAACGTGGCCACAAATGTTTCCAGACCAGCCATTTAAAAGTAGCATCTGTGGAAAAGGCGACTCCAGGCCGTTTGGCCTCCAAGTACCACGTACGGGGTCGAGGCTTTCTGTGGGTGTCGCCTGTGGTTGGATGCAAGTCGGGGGACTATACCAGTGTGTGTCATCAGTGGGTACCTCTGGTCCTGGTGCCATCAGGAGGTGGGGTGCACACCAACACTGCCCCAGGAGCCCCAGGAGTCGTTTTCTTTCTAAATGTGTCTGCTACACTGCATTCTCCGTTTTCCTCTAGATCTGCGCAAGTTCAGAACCTACAAAGGCGGCTCCGTCAGAGATCTCCTCCGAGCCATGAGAAATAAGGTGAGGGTGTGAGCCCAGCAACACAGCCCCTCCTCCTCTTACTCGTTCTCTGCGGGACGCTGACCTCGCAGAGGCTGGCGGCCTTAGCCAGGCTTGACAAACTAGACTGTTTCTTCCCTTAAACGGGTTTTGTCTTCAGGGACGTTGAGGTGAGGGGTTGCCCGGGAAGCAGCTGTCTGAGGCTGGCGTCCTTTGTGGTGTCTGCTGACTTGTATGGTACCCTCTCCCTGCCTGAGCCAGTGCCATGCAAACCCCTCTAACAGGACCCTCTGGGCACCTTCCCACACGGGGCCTCTCCAGGGCCTTGGGGCAGGGGCCCCACTTGTTCTCTGGAGGGATCAGGGGTGCTCTTGGCCTAAGCTGTCACTGAGCAGCCTTCAGACAGGGCCCAGGCCCAGACGAGGCGCCACGCCTGTTGGGACAGACACTTCAGTTCCAGGTGACTGTTCTGATTGAGGCTGCCAGGAGCCTCGCTGGGTCCCGAAGTCACAGGCGGCCTGACCGGCCACTCCCCACGCTGGGCCTTGCTCGACTCCGAGGCCCCCTCCTGTATGGGGGGGTGCAGGCCAGGCGAGCGAGATGGACTGTGGCCGTTTAAACCTTTCCCTTCTTTACGGAAAACCAACTAGCACTCTGTCTTCCTTGAGTAATAAAGGGATCTCTTGCCAGCATCCACGGCTCTAACTGACAGCCTGTGTCTGTGTGTCCGCCTGTTGCAGAAGCACCACTACCGGGAGCTCCCCGCGGAGGTGCGGGAGACCCTGGGCTCCCTCCCCGACGACTTCGTGCGCTACTTCACGTCCCGCTTCCCCCACCTCCTCTCACACACCTACCGGGCCATGGAGCTGTGCAGCCACGAGAGGCTCTTCCAGCCCTACTACGTCCACCTGCCCCCGGAGCCTCAGCCCCCAGTGACTCCAGACACCCTCTGAGCCAGGGCCTGATGTCTGCAAGCCAGAGCCTGAGGCCTACCCGCTGAGCAAGGAGGCCAGGCTCCCAAACCCAGTGCCTTGAGCTGCCTGCTCTGCGGCCAGCAGAGGAGGGTGCTGACCCCGGGAAGGGGAGAGGTGACCTCCTGACCTGCAGGAAGCTGGGAACATGTGCCTGTGAAAACGTTGTCATCAGGGAACATCTGCAAGAAGGGCCCGTCCCAGAGGCAGCAACAGGACGCCCCCACTCCTGGATGAACTTGCATCTTTAAACTTCCCGTTGGATGCCAGCCTGTGGGCCTTCAAGGAAGAGAGAGGAAGAAATCCTGAGTTCTGCCTGCGTGCTGGGACCAGGAGCGTCTCTCTCCTCGACCAGCAGGCGGGACACTAAGCACAGCCTCTGCTGGAGGTGGGGCCGGAGAGGTGAGGGTGCTGGGAGGAGCAGGACAGTCACAGGGTGTCGTCCCTGGGGGCAGAGAGCACCGATCACTGACCACAAGTGCACCCAGGTATCCCAGGATCCCAGGTCACAGTAGCCAGTGTTTCCGGGAGCTGCGAGAGCCTCGAGCGTGGGGCTGCGGTGCTGGGACAGGTCAGCAGCGCGTGCTGGGGGGACGCTCTGTTCTGAGGCAGCTGCGGCCCGGTGTGCTGGTAGCCTGAATAGTGGCCTTGGGTGACCTTGTGCCCTGGACCGTTTAGGGATGTTTAGGAATATATGGGGGCAAGAAGTGATCATTCCCTGGCCATCAAGGACCCAGGCAGGGACAGGCCTTCAGGACTGGAGGGGAGCAGGCCTCAGGGGCCACAGTGGCCACCTGGGAAAGCCCTGGGCCAGAGGGAGGTGATGAGGCTTCTGTCCCTGGAGCCAGCGGGATCGGCCTAGGGGTGGGAGCCAGGGTCACCGTGTACTTCGTGGACAGGATTTTCTGTTTCTCTTGGTAGATTTTAACTTTATATTTTGATCATGCTGTAGAAGGCTACATTAGCACAGGTAAGTTAAACTTAACTTGAAGCTTACTCATGAAGGAAAAATGCAATACCTCTATTTCGTGTGGTACCGAAAACCCCCAGCCCCCCAGGAAGAGTGTTCGTAGTCAGAACATTTCTCTAGTGCTGATGAAGAGTGCAGCATTCTGGCATTACTACGTGTTAACCTCACAGTAACACTCCCTAAATTGTTAATATTATGTTTTTTCCCCCCTAAATTTAACACAATTTTCAAGTTTTAGTTTCCGTCAGGAATTCCTGTCTTTTCTCTACTGAGAGCCTTAGAGGTTGGCTGAGGCAGGGCACCCCGTGAGGAAGTTCTCGCGTCATTTCTCCAACGGGGGAACAGGTCGTCGCGGTCCAGCCCCCGTGAACCGGGGGACTCCACGTGGGAGCACGGTCGTTACCATCAAGTTTTACTGCCCGGCAGAGATCACTGTTTCTGATTGTGTGACACCTTCGGTGGGTCGTGCATGAAGGCCACACATCCGGACCCCTCGTTCTGCCTTTGTAGACTTCCGTTCCCTTCCTTCATAATCCTCAAATCGCTTTTTCTCTTAAATTAATATTATCCTGCATCTTGCAACCTCATCGGTTACCTCATTTCGACCTTGGAACCCTGGCGCCCTTGGTTGGCATGGTGACTCCACCACGCTGTTTGTTTCAGGAGCACAGCCGGACAGGTTCCTTCTCCCCGCTCCGATCGGCCTGTGCCGGCTCTGCTCAGCGGGTCACTTTGCCCCTGGGCCCGAGAGACAGGTGGAGAAGGTGCCACGAGTGACTCGGGGGCTGGCGGCTTTCTGTGCCGCTGTGTCACTGCTGGGTTCTTGGGGAGCAGCCAGGTCGCCGCTCGCTGCCAGTCCTCGTCTTCTCTCTGTCTTGGTTCAGCGTGCCTGCAGGACAGCTTCTTCTGAAAATGCCTTTTCTGCTGATCATACCCAACTTTCTCAAGCTCAGCATTCACCGTATACTGGGATACTGGGTGCTAGGAACAGACAGATGGACAAGATAGGCAAACCCCCGCTTTCCTAAGGGCCTGTGGTGAGAGACAACAGTGAGTAACACTAGTACTGTGAAGAAGCCCGGGGGGGGGGCGCGTGCGTTTGGGCCTTGCACCTTTTCAGTCTTGAAGCCACCCGTGTCCCAGGACCCATCGGAACTGGTCAGGTTGCTTTCTGTCCATCGTCTCTTCATCACCTTTAGGACCCGTCACTCGTCAGTCCTTCAGGCGGTTTGAAGAGGCCTTGCATGGACACTTGTCATGAAAACTCCTTGAACATCCTCTGATAGACCCCGTTTCAGTCTCCGAAATGGGGGTTTCCTTGGTGCAGCTGAGCTATTTGACCTTTCGTACGATTCCCGGAAGGCTGTTGTCATCTTAGAAGTATTCGGTCTTCACTTCTACAACAGAATTTAGTTGCATCTGTTAGGAATCCTGAGGACACTATAATTTATTCATGTCTTAGGTTGAACCTTGTATTGAATCTCCGGAGCACACCTGCCAGAATTTCTCTTGTTGCTTCTGGAGCTTTAATCTCATTGTATAAAGACCTCCACACAGCGCTAGGCGTCCGAGCATTTGCACTTTAGGGAGTCACTGGTGTTACTTGATACGTCTCTAAACCATCCAGTTGCTGAGGTACGAAACCCTGAGTGCAGAGGTGTCCTCCCCTCCCCCGGCCTCAGTGCCGCAGTCACCTTAGGTTCTTCCCGTGGGGCGTCTCCCTCACCCTTTCTGTGCATTAGATTGGAAGGTCCGCAGTTAGTGGGTCCAGCGGCCTTTCTTTCCATCAAGAAAGGTTCGTATCAGCATTCATCCTGGTCCTTTCGGTGAGGCTGTGTGTGGACACGGCTCGTGCATCTTTGCAGCTCCTTCTCGCGGCAGTTACAGACGAGTTGGTCGTTGATCTGACCTCTCGCGATGCAGGCCCTTTGGGTTGCAGGGCTTTCTCCTCTTGGCCGCTGCCTTTTTAGAGGCTGGACTCCGGCCAGCTTCACATTTCCCAAGACTGTTCCCGTCCTCTGTCCCTGTTCATCGGATCCTCAGCCTTGAGGTCCTCGCGGGAGGTGCCCTGGCTGTGCTCCCACGCCTGCGTCGGGGAAGAGCTAGGAGAGAGCCCAGCACCGCTGTGCAGGCCCCTTAAATTCTCCGTAGCTCGCTCTGCCCATTCGTTTCTGAAATCCCTTCTCTTCGTCCCCCAGCGTTTCCTTGCCCCGGCCATCCCTTCACCAGCCTGGAGCTGTCGTTTAGATGAGTGTGGCCTGGCATCGGCCTTTCCGAGGAAGTCGTCGGGCATCCCGTACAGAGGAGCCAGATTCCACCTTTCCAGGGTTGGACCGTTAGCTTTTAAACCAAAGTGTCTCCTCTTCCATACTTTTTTATGAAACAGTGATTTTCCATGAGTAACTCTGGTTCTGGCTTTTGTAGCAGCACTCAAATCTCTTCTGTGTTCATTGGAAAACCACAGAGAACCGTCTGTAGTGAGCCTCCCCCTGGAGCAGCCTTAACCAGCAACTCCGGCCAAAGCCCCCCTCCCCGCCTCCCCAAGCTCTCCGTGTGTTTGGTGGGTGCAGCATTCCTTTCAGTACCCCGGAAGCTGTGACGGGGTGTCCCCACGTACCCAGAAAGCATTATCGGTCACCTCTGCGGCATCTTTAGATGCAAACCCTATGTAGTGTTCTTTTTGCAATGACCTATTTATTTAACCTATTTATATTTATTTAACTTTTACTCTGAAGTATATCCAGTTACAATTGCACTCGCTTAAAGGACTTATGATTTGTTTTGGACAATACCCCTGACCATTTTAAAACTGGAAAAGGAAAAATACTGTATCCTTCCACAGGATGGTCGCCTTACAGTAGTTTTGTTAGCAAAGGGTGGACAATTTGGTCGTGGTAAAAATGTTAATTTTTAAGTGATTTTTTAAAAAAAATTCTGTGCCATTGTGTCTTTTCTGTGGATGGTTTATTGTTAAATGTGTGTTAATTGTGTGATACAATCCTCTTTGTGGAACCTATCCTCCCCCTTTTTAGCTTTATATTTTATAAACTGCCAGATTGTACAATTTATATGTGTGTTTTTAAAGCTTGATGATGTGAGGGTAACTCCAGAAGTTAAATGGCCTATTTTTGTACCTACTGTACAGTTTTGTAATTCTGCTGATGGATGATGGCATCTCATGTTGAGCCAACCACAAATAAAGGTAGTTTTAGATTTGCAAGCAGCTTCATCTTCTTAAAGACTCGCCCACCACTCAGACAGGGCGTCCTTCTCGGCCGTCTTCTGGTGAGGCTGTGGGTGGTGAGGGTGCGCAGCTGGCTGGCGCTGGGAGGCGGTGGGGGTGCCGTTGCCTGTTGGTGTCCGGGGCAGGGAACGGGGCTGGAACATCCATCCTCTTGGGTGGCTGTTTGTAGGAAAAGGTCCTTGAAACACTGAAGGAAATCCCCAAAAGTACGGATTTGGGCTGAATTCCAGGAAGGTGGCCGAGTTGGGACAGACTTGCTTCATGGGGAGTCGTCGGCTCCAGCAGAGTGGGGCATGTGTACAGTGAACAGGGCACTGGACCCAGAAATGTAGGGGGAGAGAGACTCGCTGAGGTGCCGCGGCCAGCAGTGCTGGGAATGCACACGGCGCGCCCTCCTGCAGGCCAGGGAGGAGCTCAGTGCCCGTCTGCTTGGATTGCGGGGTCCTGCCACCATGCTTTCTCCTCCTCCCATCCCTCTAGTGCAGCGGCTCTCAACCTGGGGGTCGCACGACCCTTTCACAGGGGTCGCCTAAGACCATCAGAAAACACATATTTCCGATGGTCTGAGGAACCGAGACACCACTCTATCCCCAGGCGGGTCTGACCGCGTGCAGATGGGTCCACACACAGCATGAGGATCGGTATTTAAGGGCCGCGGCATTAGGAAGGTTGAGAACCACTGCTCTATTGGAATCGGAGGCGACTCCACTTTCTCCTGCGCCACCCAGGAGGGAGATGCCAAAGGGCCCACTAGCCCCAGGACCGCTTAGTCAGGGCTCAGCTTCTAGGCTGGTTCCTTCCACTTGGCCCACCACCATCCCATTCCCCCCTCAGTGGGCACCCGAGCATCCCTGGGAACCCTGGACACACCCACCCGCACGCTGCACTGTTGGACACAGCCAAATCCAAGGGCACACGAGAGGCTGCAGGCCGATGTTTTCCACACAGCTATTAAGCCAGGACTGTGTCTGCCTCTTGAGTTGGCCCAGGCCAGGGAGGGAGGCAGCGGGTAGCACCTTTAGCTGCTTGCAAGAACGGAGAGAGGAGGCCAGCAGGCGAGGGCCATGACCAGGCACTGACAGGCTTTGCCGCTTTCTGCTGAGTCGGCATCGGGCTGCAATCACAATGGTTTTTCTCAGTGTCTGATGCATTTTAGTAAACATCTGCACCTACGTACACAACGGGATTCCATCAGGGAGTGCACCTGTGTGTGCTCCGTTTCTCTCATTGTATCACATGTGCTAAACCCTGCCTTCGCCTCAAGAGATCAGACAACAGCCAACATAAGAGCCCACCTGCCTGCCCCCACAACGGGCCAGGCACTGTGCTGGGGCATCCTGTGCCCGGATTGATCGTTGGCTTTGACATCTTTCACTTTAGTGAGAGACTGACCAGACTCTTTGGCAAGGCCAAAGTCCAGGTCGAGAGCCCCCGCCTGGACCAATCAGCTGTGGGCAGGTGAGCAGGGCTGTAAGAGATGGCAGCCCCTGGGAACCACATTGAAAGGGGGTGGAGGGGCCCGTTTCCAGAAGCAGGGGGGCAGCCCAGCTGGAGAGTAACTGAGTAAACTTGGCTTCTGGGTGGGTTGGCAGGTGAGCCCAGTAAGTGCTCCCCCATCTTCTTCTGCCTCTCTGAATCCCCCCCCCAGGCCTACTCAGTGACTGGAAGGAAGCCACAGGAGTGCTCCCCGAGTTTGCCTGAAGGGACACAACGCTGGAGAGTGACTAACACCAACGTGGAGAGGGACACCATCAAGATTCCAGAAGATGAAATGCTGAATCTAAACCCAGAGTGACAGGAAGTCCCGCCTTGAGAGAGAGTGACAGGAAGTCCCGCCTTGAATGAGGAGGCTGCGGGTGGAGAGCAGGGCTGTGCGGGGCCTGGAAACTCAGACACGTGAAGAAACAGCTCTAGAGACCTCAGAAATCTGCCTGGTGGTGGAGGAACTGGCTTCGCTGTCTCGCTCCAGGTTTAAGCTGGAGAAGGGGGATCTGGGTCCAGGGGGCAGGCCCAGCTCCAGGAGGGAGGGCTGCCTACCAGCTTGAGGCTCCGTGAGTCCTGGGGCAGAGGAGGTCCAACAGAGGGGCAGGGTCTCATCCTGAACAGACTAGGAAGAAATTGTTTTTGGGGTCAGAGGTTGGGCTCGGGTTCCTTTCAGATAAGCTCGTATGACTGAGGCCTCCCCTCCCCTGTGATATGTTCTGGAAGTGGCTGCCAGGGCGGGTGTGAATCACAGGAAACGGGGAGGGGCGGGGCCAGGAAAGTTGACGGGTGGCAGGGCGGGTGTCGCATGTTCCAGACACACATGCGCCAAGGTGTGGCTGGTACAAGATGAGAGAAGTAAAGCCCACAGTTGACTCATTTAGGACAGTTTCCCAAAGTGCACCTCAGAGTACTAGCGCCAAAGGACAGTCATCTTAGGAAAGGGGCTCGCTGTCCAAATTAATTTAGGAAAGGCTGATTTCGTAAAGGTTCCATATTTATGGCAAAACTGTTCAGAGGCCGTTCATATGCTACCAGCATATTCTCCAAGATGGAGATACACTTACCTCCAATGATTGCCTTTAATTAATTAATTAATTTTAAAAGGCAGGAAGGAAGGATGTTTGGAGTGGCAGGAGTAATGTTATGGTTTCATCAAATCTTGTTTTATTTTTCTCTTCCCAGATATCCAGAAAGACAACATTCCCAGCCTCCCTGGCCGGCAGCTCGGGGCCGGTGACTAAGTCTGGCCAACGGGCTGAGAGAGGAGCCAAAGGCGGCCCTCTGGCCCTTCCTCTGGCTGGTGGTGGCGGGCACGGAGGCCACATACTGAGATGGCACAAGCAGCAGCAGCAAAGTGGATCCTCTGGAACGGCTGGGTTCATCACGCAGCCTTGCTGAGCCCACCCTGACGAACACGTTTGGTAAAAGCGTCCCTGGGGAAGTTCGCTGCCGCACCTGACAGGTGAAGTCAGTGCTGAACTGTTTGTGTCTGTAGCTAAAAAGTTCATGCTCCCAGAGGATCCAAGGAGCAAACGGGGGGTTCCGTACCTGCTCTGTCTTCACGCCCCCTCACAGTCTCCCCTTCAGTGAAGACCCTGTTGGCCCTGACAGTGGCCTGGACAATAAGTGGGTCGTGCTGAGGTGTGCACTGAACCGGACAAGGGAGGTGGGAACCCCGTTGCCTTCCCTGGGCACCAGAGGATCGGCTGGGTTTGTGGGGTTGGGATGTCCAACTTGGCAGAGGGGATGGAGGGTGATTTGGGGACATTTCCTCTCATCTGCACCCAGTCTCCGAAAAACAATTTTAGGGAGAGCGGAGGGGGGACTGAGGGCCAGAAGGGGGATAATCTACACCAGGGCCCAGGGCGTGGAGCCGAGGATCTGACCTTCCTTCTGCAAGGCTCCGAAGCCCACCTTCTTTCTGTTCTGCTGCCGAGGGAAGAAACTGGGATCGAGAAGGACAAGGATGCAAAGAAAAATAAGAATGAAACCACGGCTGCTCTTGGCAAAGCTGCTGCCCCTGCTCGGCACTAGTCCTGTTTCCTCACTAAGTGGCTGGGTGGCTGCTAAGGGCAGAGTGGAAAACAGCGCTTTGAAGAGGAAGCCCTCTGCGACGGGACTTGCTGTAACCAGGGTGACAGCCCAGGGCTATTGTTTGTGTGTCTTAACATTTTTAGCTAGTCCAGGGGTTTTCAAACTTCGATCGGATCAGAATCGTGATCTGGGGAACTTGGTGAACACACACAGACCCAGGCCCTCTCTCGCGTCAACAAACCAGGGCCTCTGCGTTCTTGAATTCCCAAGTGACCCTGCCACACCCCAAAGCGTGAGCACCACCCATCTGGGCCACAGTGCTTGGGACAGAAAGGCGATCCATGAGCCCTGGCCTGCTGGGCTCAGCGGTTGGAGCAGTGGTTCTCAACCTTCCTAATGCTGCGACCCTTTAATACGGTCCTCATGCTGTCTGTGGGCGTGTCTGCATGTGGGGGGACCCGCTGGAGACGGATAGAGGAGCGGTGTCTCGGTTCCTAAGACCATCGGAAATACGTGTTTTCTGATGGTCTTAGGTGACCCCTGTGAAAGGGTTGTTCGACCCCCAAAGGGGACGTGACCCACAGGGTGAGAACCACTGGATTAGAGCGTCGGCCCACAGACCAATGAGTCACAGGTTCGATTCCAGTCAAGAGCATGTACCTTGGTTGTAGTTTCTCCCCGGCCCTGATTGGGGTCATGCAGGAGGCAGCCACTCTATGTGTCCCTTTCACGTTGATGTTTCTCTCTCTCTCTTCCTCTCTCTCCCTCCCACTCTATCTGAACAAAAATGGAAAAATGTCCTCGGGTGAGGATAAAAAAAAAAGAAAGGAGGTCCATGAGAGAATCATCGTTAATGCTTTGGGGTATCTTTCACCAATTAAATGTGTCATTTAAAATCCAAATTTGAATGATACTCTATATTTTTTTAAAATCCTGTTTCCCACAAGCCAGTGCCTGGGACGAAGAAATAGCTGGTCGCCCAGTTTCATGGCGGGGTGGCTTCTCTCACTGCAGCAAGAGCTCCTCTGGTTCCCTAGCAACTGGCTCCCCGAAGGAAGGTGGTCAAACCCTCAGTCAGGGACCCCACCCCCGACCCCACCCCCAGGGGAGTATGATTCACGGAAACCTCTGGATGGTCTCATTATACTTGTTCACAATGACATGTGAATTTCCCTGGGAGAGCCCTTTCAACCCAAAGGCTGTGTCATTTTCAATAATTGTCCCCTTCATTTTCTGTTTTTATTTCTGGAACTTCTAATAGTGGCATGTTGGAGCTCCAGGTTTGATCCTCCCCGTTCCTTATCTTTTATATCTTATATTCCATTTGTTGATTTTTGTTTCTTCTGGAAAATTTCCTGGCTTTATTTTCCAAATTTTCTATGACCCTTTTTTTTCCATTTTCTTTTTTTTTTTTTCCTCACTTGAGGACATTTCTGCATTTATCTTCAGATAGAGCGGGAGGGAGAGAGGGAGGAAGAGACAGAAACATCCATGTAAGAGAGAGACATCAACGGTCGCCACCCACACGACCAACCAGGGCCGGGGACAAACTGCATCCGAGGTACGTGCCCTTAGCGGGAACCGAACCCAGCCTCTCTGGTCCGCAGGTTGATGCTCTAACCGCTGAGCCAAAACAGACCAGGGCTCCGTTTTCTTTAATTCTCTGTATTATTTCTGTATCTGTGAGGTTGTTTGTGTTTACTTTGATCTCTCTCATCCAACTTGCAGGTCGTCCGGAATGCCTGGTGACGTGTGCTGTGTTTGATTTGCTCATGACGGTCAGCATTTCGACTCCAGAATCTCTGGCTTCAGCTTGCGATGACCTTGACTTTATTTACATTGAAAACACTTTCTTAATGTTGCTAATGGACGGTGGTTCCAGGATCAGAAACCTCAGTGTTGCCAGGGAGCTTGTGATGGATGCACATTCTCGGGCCTCCCCCCAGACCCACTAAATTGGAAACTCTGGGGTGGTGTCTCCCCTGACGCTGATGGATGCTCAAGGTTGAGAACATTTGCTGTCAACATATGTCTCAGAAAACTAAGCTTCTAGCTCAAGTCAGTAAACATTCACTGAGCACGCTCTTGGTGGGGCAGAGAGGGAAGCACCAGAAGGTGACAGAGACAAGAAGGAAATAGACATGGAAAAGGATCTGCCCAGATGCCAAAACATGGGAGGGGGGAGAAAGGGGGGAGGGGGGGAGGAGTGTGTTGGAGAGGGGCGTTCTGAGAGGTTCAAATGATGCATCAGAACTGTCTGTGTGGCTCTTCCAGCAGGCTCAGGGGTTACAACTGAACAGTTTGGGGCCCAGCCGCTCTGCTGCTAAAAGCTGCATTGATGGTTCTGCCCTTGGGTCAAGAATGGGAACCCTTGCCCTGGCCAGTTTGGCTCAGCGGTTAGAGCGTCGGCCTGCGGTCCTGAGAGACCCGGGTTCGGCTCCCGCTAAGGGCACGTACCTCGGATGCAGTTTGTCCCCGGCTCTGGTCAGTCGTGCGGGTGGCAGCCACTCGATGTGTCCCTTTCACGTTGATGTTTCTCTCTCTCTCTCTCTGTTCCTCTCTCTCCCTCCCACTCTACCTGAACAAAGAATGGAAAAATGTCCTCGGGTGAGGATTAAAAAAAAAAAAGAATGGGAACCCTGCCTGTGAGGGACAGCTTTTGGGACCTCACAGCTGGGCTGCCATCAGGCGTGGGCACCCGGGTGGAGTATACTACTGTGTGTGACGTGAAGACGGAGGATGACAGCCTTGGCCTGTCCCTGCGTCTGGCCGGCCGTGGGAGTCTGTGGATGACTTTGCTGCCTCGTCCTGCGCGCTGGGCTCTAGGCCCACAGCTGAGCCCTGCCGTCCCACACCACAGGCCGTCCATGCCTCTGTGCCTCCGTCCCCGCTACTGCCTGACTTCTCAGCCACCTTTCTGCCTTCCTCCCTGCATGCTGGTTTTCAGCACTGTGCACACTGAAATCACCTGGAGAGCTTAAAAAGCAACATGTAGATTTATATATGCTTACATAGATACACACACGATGTGCAACTATTGTAATATGCAATACTTGAGACACTAAAAATAACTGGGTGCCTGTATTTTAGGAGAGTCAGAGATAAGCCCACTTCCTGAGCCCCCTTCCTCATTGTGCCCCACCCCAAATGTAGGCTTGCATCCCAGGGACGCCCTCAGCCTGCAGGGGGGTCTCGCCGGCCTCCGTCCCTTCCCCCAGCTCCAGGTTATTCCGGAGCCGGCTCTGATTAGCGATTACAGGACCCGATGCCAGGGGAGCTGTGGGAGCCTTCCTGGGGCGCCTGCCACATGGCCCCACACATCCACAGTCCCTTTCCATGTGTCCCCTCTTTGCCCTGCTGGCCCATGGAGTGCCCCACGCAGCAAGATCCTGCCTCTGGCAAAGTAGAGAAAGTCTGAGTTATGAAGGAACAGAGCGTCCGGCCCAGCAATCTGCGGGGAGCTTCTCACTCGCTTCAGTCTCTACCTTCCTGTGCGATTTGGTTTTCCGCAGCTAAGACACAGAAAAGCAATGGTCAGGCTGCCGTATTCCTTCCTAGAGCCCGGCCCACAGGACGGTGGGGATGTCCTCAAACGCTGCTGTCATTACCCGGCCGCTTGCCATGAAGACCCAGCCCCAGAGTAAGGCCCTGGTGCCCGGCCAGTCCGGGCCATGTGCCATTTCATTCTGCAACATTCCTGTGCTGATGGATGAGACTTGTGGGGGGCGCGGTCTTTCCCTCTGGACTTTGGTGACATGGGACAGAAACCAGCTGAAACGGTCTTAAGCAAAAAGGGCAAAACGTTTGGCTCGTGGACACCGAGCGGCAGGACGGACCTCAGGAGTGGCTGGGACCAAGGACTGGGACCCATCAGAACACTGTCACCTCTCCTCTGAGCATTTTGACCTTCTCGCCTCCTACAGACCCACCTCCCTGGGAATGGGGCCATGGCCTCAGGCAGCATCTGTCCTCCGACCTCTGCGACCACACGGGAAAAGGCTCTTTCCCCAACTTGTTAAAAGAAACAAAATTCAAGGACAGACCTAAGGTGGGGCACCACGATGCCAACTTTGGAGCAATCATTTGGCCAGGAAGGGGGGGTCGAGGAGGAGGACAGGAGCTCCCCAGAAAACCTGTCTACAGTAGAGGAAGGAGGGGTCCCCTCCAAAAAAAGGCAAGTCCAGACATCACTCCTGGGGAAATTGTGCCCTGATTTGTGTCTACCACAGATGCCATCAAAACTTTAAAGTCACATGGGCCCCTCAAAGCCTTTGGCCCTGATGCCCCCACTTCAGCATTCTCCCTTGGTTTGGTTTGGGCAGCAGTATGGCAGGAAGGTCCCCACTAAACTGAAACCCAGAAGTACCAGGAGAGAGGGCTCAGAGCCTAGAAGACCCCAAGAGTTCGTGGCCTTGTCTGTCCTCTTGGTCCTGGACATGATCAACTTTGTGACTTAGTTGAGCCTGGAGTCTAAAATGGGGCTGGCCTCTGGGAGCCTGGCTGGCCACCCAGCACCCACCTCTGCACCCAGCTTTGATGCTTTCTGTCTTTTGGAACCAAGTCGCTCTGCTAGAGTAGCTGTTTTACTGTTGCTGGGCGAGGTGGCGGATGTGAAGAGATCTGAGAGAACAATGGTTCTTGGTCACAGGTGGAAGGTTTTCGTAGTGGGGCATGTTGAACACAGGGAGGTTGACTAGTCTTCTGCAGGGGACAACAGGTGGCCCACCCTGCAACTGTCTCATTCATCAAAGACCCCCAGTGGTGCCGAAACTGCACGTCAAAAGAGAGAGAAAAATGGTATGGCAGTTTCTCAAAAAATCAAGCATAGGACTACCATGTGACTCAAAAATGTCTCTTCTGGGTATGTACCCCAAAGGGTTGAAAGCAGGAACCTGAAGAGATATTTGTTCACCCATGTTTATAGCAGCATTATTCACGACAGCCAAAAGGTGGAAGCAACCCCAGTGTCCATCAACAGATGAGTAGATAAACAAATGTGGTCTATTCCTACAATGGAATATTATGCAGCCTTAAAAAGGAAGGTAATTCTCCCCTGGCTGAGCAGCTCCGTTGGTTAGAGCATTGTCTTAGTATGCCAAGGTCATGGGTTTGATCCCCGGTCAAGGCACGTACAAGAATCAATCGATGAATGCGTGGATGAGTGGAACAATAACCCTCTCTCATCAGTAAGTTTTAAAATTTTTTTAATTAAAAAATTGATTTTTAATTAAAAATTAACTTAAAAAAATTTAAAAAGAAGGTAATTCTGACATGTGCTTGAGGACATTGTGCTAAGTGAAGTAAGCCAGGCAGAAGAAAACATCACTGTGTGATTCCACTCACATGAGGTCACCCCTAGAGCAGTCCTTCGGAAACAGAAAGTAGAACTGGAGGTTGCTGGGGGGAGGGGCACAGGGGAATCTAGTGCTTGGTGGGGACAGAGTTCAGGTTGGGAAGATGGAAAATTCTGGAGACGAGGGTGGACATGGTTGTGCAACAATGTGGATGTCTTAATGCCACAGACCTGCACACTAAAAATGGTTCAAGTGGTAAAATCGTTTGCTGGGTATATTTGAATCACAATATTTCAGAAGGGGGAGTGGACTGAAAGAGGTTAATGAGAGCTGAGAACCAAACACAGGAAGCACGTGACTTCTGGGTGGTAAGGAAGGGAAGAACCTGCACTGACACGTTAGAGCCTGGGACCCCAGCACGCGCAGCAGCCTCTCACCCAGCTTTCACCCCTCGAGGGGCGCAGGTCACCCTTCCTTCCCCATCACCGTCACTCCATTCAGCAGATGACAGGTAAGGTCAGCTTCTCACCACTCTTGGCAGAGTGGAAAGGATTTGGGACAGTGTCCAGACCTGAGTTTCCATCCCTCCACCTCCCGGCCCTCGGTAGCCCCTCCCTCCCCGTAAGTGTGGAGTTGGGGGGGAGGGGCTGGAGGTCCCAGAATTCCTTCTCACTAGATGTTCCCAGCTCCTGGTAGCTCCTGGGCTCCTAGGCCTTGCTTTTGTGGTTGTTTCCTGTTTTTGTCCTTTCACTTCCTCTCCTGCTCTGTCGTTGGGGTGACAGATTTAGAAGTGTCGGGGCTGCCTTTTAGTCCGAGCGCCCACGTGGGCGTGACCTGGGTCATCTGAACTGGACCGGGGCTGATATGTAGGAGAAGGGACAGTCCCCTCTCTCTGGGGATTATATGGGGATTCATGATGAAGCTTAGTGAAATCCTCCCTCCTGTTACAGGGGGACTTTCCTTACATTCCTCCTCTTCCCAGATGTGTAGGAATTTCTCTTTTCCCTTGGTATTCTTTTTGTAAAATGTAATGTGTGGCACACTCGGAATAAGTTAGCATGCACGTACATTACGTACAGCAGCAGGGTAATATGGACAGGCCTGAGCCCCCTACAACACGAGGAGGAACTATTCCTAAGTCTTGCATCTACCTGTGTATGACTTACCCCCCGAATGTGTGTCTGTTGCTCCCTTGATTTTTTTAGTGCTTTGTCACATATGCCTGTTCTTCCTTTATGAAACAGTTATACAGCACTTACTGTGCCAGGCACTGTTGTAAATACTTAAAAATATTAACCCAACCAGAGGGAAAGGGGGTGGGGGGGGAGAAGAGAGTAAAGGGGGGATACATATGATAGAAGGAAACCTGACTTGGGGTGGTGAACCCACACTACAATATACAGATCATGTATTATAGAATTGTACACCTGAAACCTATCATTTTACTAACCAAAGTCACACCAGTAAATTCAAAAATGTAAAAATATTAATTCATTTAATATGTTTAATCCACACCATAGCTGTATTAGGAAGGTACTGTTATTCATCCCATTTTGCAGAAGAGGAAACAAAGCACAGAGAGGTTAAATGACTTGATAAAAGGTTACACAGCCAGCAAGAGGTAAGCCCAGCACGTGTCTCCCGGTTCTTAGTGCGAACATTTCTCTAGGGCACATACCAGGTGTGGAATTGTGGGTAATGAGATATGAGAACATTCCAGATAATGCCTGATGATTTCCCTGAAGACTAATACACCCTCTCACCGCAATGATAAGAGTTTCTATTGACCTAAAACCTCTCCAACATCTGGTGCTTGTTCGATTCTTTAACTTTTGCCAATCAGGTAGATATAAAATGGTATCCACTGTGGTTTTTCTTTTCTTTCTTTCTTTTTTTTTTAATCCATCCATGATGATATGTTTATTGATTTGAGAAAGAGAGAGAAACATCAATGTGAGAGAGAAACATCAGTCGGTGGCCTGCTATACGCTTCGTCCCCACAAGAGATCAAACCTGCAACCTCGGTCTGTGCCCAGACTGGGTATCGAACTTGAAACATTTTGGTGTTCAGGATGATGCTCCAACCAACTGAGTCACCTGGCCCAGGCTCCACTGTGGTTATAATTTTTATTTTCCTGGCTACTGTTGAGTTAAAGCATCTTTTTTATTGTTTACATGTGTTTCCTTTTCTCTGAAAAGTTCCTATGTGTCTTTAATGCAATCCAAGTTGTTAGTTATTTATGATTGGTGATTTGGGGGTCTTTAAAAAATATATCTATGTTTTTATTGTTTGTTTTTTTTAGAGAGGAAGGGAGAGAGATAGAAACATGGATGTGAGAGAGAAACATCCATCAGCTGCCTCCTGCATGCCCCCTACTGGAGATGGAGCCCATAGCTCAGGCATGTGCCCTGACCAGGAATCAAACCCAGACCTCTCAGTCCACTGAGCCACACCATCAGGGCAAGATTTTATTCACTTTATTGGGGTGACATTGGTTAATAAGATCATATAAGTTTCAAGTGTACGTTGCTGTGATACATGATCTGTATATTGCATGGTCTCACTTTAGAAGTCCTTCCCTGTCCAAAGGACACAAAAACATTCTACTATACTTTCTTACAAAAGTTTTTAGTGTTCTTTCACATATAAATCCTTAGTCTAGATGGAATTGATTTCTACATTTATGAGGTAGGGCTGTATTTCCCCCCTTTTCCCTCCATATAGTTAACCAGTTGATCGAACATCATTTATTTAATAGACCTCCTTTCTCCAAGTGAGCTACAGAGCAACCGCTGTATGTGTCAAAGTTTTACACCAATTATTTCTGGGCTCTTGATTCTGTTCCATTGGTTAATTTGCCTACATCTATAATAATACCATATTTTATTATCTTAATATCCAGTAGAGCAAACCTCCACTCCTTAATCTTGTTTAGGGGTAGCTTGGTCCTTTTGCTCTTCCGTGTAATTTTTAAAATCAGCTTTCAAGTTTCATGAAAAATTGGGATTATTGGAATTGCACTGAATTTGTATATCAGTAAGGGGAGAATTGATATCTTTATAGTACTGAATCTCCTATTTATGAATAATGACTAGCCTTCCACTTATTTAGATTGCATTTAATGTCTTTAAATAAGGTTTTATAATTTGTTACTATAGGTTTCTATATGTATTGGTAGAGTTATTCCTATATTTTTCTACTATAAATTGTTTATTTTGCCCCCTCCACAAAAAATACAAAGGGTATCTGTAGATTCTCTTACACTTTGAAAATGAAATGTATTATAATAAACACTGGCTTTATAATTATTCAAAGTTGTGTATACATTTTTTGGGACACCCTATATGTTTTATGTTTCTGATATACTAAAGAGCAACTTATTTTGAGATATTGGTCTTATAACTAACTGCTTTGCTAAAATCTCTTATTTTGAATCACTTGTCTGGTCATTCTTTTGGATTTTCTACCTAGGCAATCATATATGAAAATACTGATGGTTTTGCTCCTTCCCATCCCTAGGCCTATAATTTTTTTTTTTTCTTGTCTTACTACACTGTCCGGGACCTCTGGTACAATGTTAAATTGAAGCAGAGATAGTGAGCATCCTTGTCTGGTTCCAGATTTTTTTAAAAAAATGTTCTTAAGAATTACTCCTTAAAAAATAATATGAGTAAGTTTTTCGTAAGTTCTCTTTATCAGGTCAAGAACATTTCCTTCTAATTTGCTAAGTGCTCTTATGAAACAGTGTCAAATGTCAGTTTCCTGCATCGTTTGTTTTTAGTTTGGGCTCGTTCCAAACCAGAGCCTGGAGCCAAGGACTAAGGTTCAGGTAGGTTGAGAGGTGATTCCAAGAAGCAGGGAGTAAAGAAACAGAGAGACAGAAACAGGGAAAGAGGAAATATCCGTTTAAAGGTACATGACTGATGATGCAGCTACAGGCAGAGGGAGCTCAATTCAGTTGGGACCTCTGACAAGCTTGCAAGGTGCCACCCGTAATTGCCCGTGGGAAAGACAAAGGCTGGAGCACGCATCCGCCAGCTCCTGTCCCATCAAGTGGCAAATTACGGAACATAATTCTCCCACACTTTGGAGAAATACTAGCAGGCAGTAAATGGCTCCTTTGGAACTGAAGAAAGCCCTGAGGCAAAAAGCAAAAAGAAACATGGTAAAAACTTGAGGTAGAACACTGGCAACAAAAGGTTAGTCTAGGCTTGGAGTTACAGTGGAATTATCCGCTGTAGGTACAGCTGGTATCAGAAGAAGGCAAAAGCCCGGCCAGTGAGGCTCAGTGGATTGAGCTCAGTCCCATGGACTGAGAGGTCCCAGCTGGATTCCAGGTCAGGACACATGCCCCTGTTGCGGGCTCGATCCCCAGTAGGGGGCGTGCAGGAGGCAGCCCATGGATGTTTCTCTCTCTAAAAATCAATAAAAACCTATTAAAAGAAAGAAAAAAATAACAACAAGAAGGCAAAAGTGATGTGACACAGAACACCAAAGTTTACTGTTAACCAACCTAGTAAACAGTTGGTGTGGGCTTTGCTTTGCTAGATTTGTTTTGCTACTATTTTTTTCTAATTGTTACATCTCTATTCATGAGCGAGATGGGCTTCCAATGTTTCACTCTCTTCATGCATGTGTCTCATTTTGTTTTGAAGCTTACAACTGGCCTCACAGGAAAAGTTAGAGAGAGTTCCTGCTTTTCCCATTCTCAGAAAAAGGTTTTATAAAATCAGAATTCTCTCTATTTAAAATTCTGTAAAATGATCTGGACCAGGTATTTTCTTTGTGAAAGGTTTAAAATGACTGAGTCAATTTTTATTCTTTTATTGATGTGAGAGAGAGAGAGAGAGAGAGAGAGAGAGAGGAATGGAGAGGGAGAGATAAAAACATTGATTGGCCGCCTCCTGCATGCCCCCCACTGGGGATTTGGTGCATGGGTTGGTGCTCAACCACTGAGCCACACTGGCCAGGCAATTTTTAAATAATTACAGAACCATTTGGGCTTTTTATTTCTTCTTAGATCAAGTGTTGTAAGTTACATTTTCCTGATATTTGACCCATTTTGTTTCATATTTCTTGGCATAAATTATTTACAGTCATTTTTATTTTTAATTGCAGTAAAAGTATACATAACACAAAATGTACCTTCTTAACCATTTTTGTCTGCTTCATTATTCATAGTTGAGAGATGTGTATTAAAACGTCTTGCTATGCCCTGGCCTGTTTGGCTCAGCAGCTGGAGCGTTGGCCTGAGGACCAGAGAGTCCCGGGTTCAGTTCCTGCTAGGGGCACGTACCAAAAAAAAAAGTTAAAATGTCGTGCTATGATGGTGATTTGATCTCTGCAGTTCTTTCAAGGCAGATGCTTACAAGTTTAGAAATATTGAAACTTTCTGGCGAATTGATCCTTTAATTTAGGCACTAATTCTGTCCTTTCCTAAAAGTCCTTCTGGTCAGATAGCAATTGTTGGTTGTGGTAAGTACATCCACATTGCTTTGCAACCAACTTCT